AACGAAATAAACGTAAACACCACACGTTCGTTTGGGTGTTCAAAACAATGTGATCACTCAAGACTCGATCAAGTACAAGAGCAGCCGATACTGATTAGACGGACAAATGAAATCCAGTAGAATGTGAGAAGTGCTGGTAATGATGATTTTATGAGGTATTGCGTAACTTGAAGTAGCTTCCAGCCGTGGTATCCATTATATATAATCAGGCTACATTGTTTATACGTCTTAGCAATAATGTTAACCTTGTCCACATGCTCGTTAGCCCAGCCGTGGCGATGTTTCAAGTCGAGCTTTCAGGCACAGCAGACGACGCGAAGGTCACGTGTTTACAAGCTTTTTGATTGGTGGTTCGCGCGCCCGTACCGCCCGACGCCATGCCCTTCTGCGAGCGCAATGATGCATGTGTTATATCGGCCTTACGGTGTATACTGACAAAATGTTAATGAATGTGTTATATGTCTTACCATACTTTACTTTATATGCCATATCACATTCAGACTATATTTCTTATTATTCTAATCTAAATCATCAAATAATATACATTAATATTTATGCTCTGTAATCCAATACTTTCGTACGTCTCATGTATTGTTTTGATACAATCGCATTTGTATTTCATATTTAATTATATTTTTTACACGGCCCCATTGTAAACCAGCTTAAAAGGTGATCTTTTTTGTTTACCTTGTTTTTAAATAAATAAATCAATCAATCAATGAATCAATCAGTCAATTAATCAAATAGACTTCAATTTAAACAAACAAACAACATCATCAACACAAACACAACACACATAGAAAAAACACTATCGTTTGAGGGAAGGAAACACGAACACTTCCTACTCAAACGCAAAAGACAGGAAATCAGGAAAGAAAAGAATAATAGCATAAGACGATAAAGAGAAGGATCAATGATGTCTTATGAAATCTTTTTGTTTTTGTTTAATTGTTATATATTTCTTCAGTAGGTTTTATACACAAATTATTAAGGAATAAGCTGAACGTAGCAAAGACATGCATTTACTATATGCTTGCATGACTTGTTCATTAGACTATTTGAAATGCACAACAACAAAAAAATCCATATCTGAATGGTTTGATGAATATTCTGTTATTTTATAATTACATCATAATGTACGCCACAAGAGTTCAATTTTACTTCTCCTCTTGATAGTCATCAAAGCTTCTATGATGTTATCCTTCTTCAAAATAGTCCTTCCTCTGTTTTCTATATTCTATTTTCATCATTTCTTTCTTCATATTACTCCAAATTATTTTCGTTTAAGCGCACACTTCTTCTCCCTCATTGTTCAGTTCATGAAGAGAGGGATGAATACAAACGGAAATGTGCAATGAGAAAAATGCGACCATATGCTAAAGATGGTTATGATATAACATGGTATTTTTGAGATAAGGAAAACGGAGATTCGCAAGAAAATTTCGGCAACTCGTGAAAGACAGTCCAAGATTAAAGAAGAAAAAGAAAGAAAATGTTACCTTGACGCATAACTGAAAAATTTCTTACTTGACTGAAACACCGTGTTTATTCTCGAATACCTCGATGAGCATTATTAAAACAAAATAGTTCTACCTTTCATTATGAAAACTTCCATGGAAATAATGTTCTACGACCTCGTCTCTGCTACATTTTATCGTTGAAAAACAAGATTTTTTTCTCAATTAATCGCAGACTTTTTCTCCCTTATTGTTTAGTTTATGAAGAAAGGGATGAATAAAAACGGAAATGTGCAATGAGAAGAATGTGACAATATGCTGAAGATGGTTATGATATAACATGGTATTTTTGAGATAAGGAAAACGGAGATTCGCAAGAAACTTTCGGCAACAGGTGAAAGACAGTCCAAGATTTAAAGAAGAAAAAGAAAGAAAATGTTACCTTGACGCATAACTGAAAAATGTCTTACTTGACTGAAACACCGTGTTTATTCTCGAATACCTCGATGAGCATTATTAAAACAAAATAGTTCTACCTTTCATTATGAAAGCTTCCATGGAAATAATGTTCTACGAACTCGTCTCTGCTACATTTTATCGTTGAAAAACAAGATTTTGTTCTCAATTAATCGCAGACCTTTTCTCCCTTATTGTTTAGTTTATGAAGAAAGGGATGAATAAAAACGGAAATGTGCAATGAGAAGAATGTGACAATATGCTGAAGATGGTTATGATATAACATGGTATATTTTAAATAAGGACAACGGAGATCCGCAGGAAACTTTCGGCAACAGGTGAAAGACAGTCCAAGATTTAAAAAAGAAAAAGAAAGAAAAGGGTACTTTAACGCATAACTGAAGAATTTTTTACTTGAATGAAACACCTTGTTTATTCTCCAATATACCGAGATGAGCATTATTAAAACAAAGTAGTTCTACCTTTGATCATGAAAGCTTGCAATGATACAATGCTCTACGAAATCGTCTCTGCTTCATGATTTCGTTGAAGATAAAAAATTGTGACTATTATTCCAGCTTACCGTATGTTCGATTACCATTGCTCAGACTGAATATTCAGTCAATGAACAAAGAAGAATAAATGTATATTAGAGACAAAAGAAAGGGAAAGTTAGATCCGGAAGAAACTTTCTTCAAAGTTATGAAAGACATCAATGGCAAACATACGGGGTAAACCGGGGGGGGGAGGGGTAGCGGGCACCAGACGTATGAGATGAGAGAACATTGTTAGTAAAGATTATAATTCCTCATCAACCTCATCCTAAACGATAGCTATCTTCGAGTGACACCGCCCCCCCCCCCACCACCACATCACAGTGTTCCTTTCCAATAGCTGGACCCACGGTACTCGGCCAAATTTTCAACAACAAAAAAATGTGCTCTTACCCCCCCCCCCCCCCCTCCGCTTATTGAGCGGCTGGCTGAGTCGTTGCGAAATTTCTCATCAAATCCTGGACCCCCCCCCCAAAAAAAAAGGTGCTCTTACCCCCTCCCCCCCCCCCTTACTCAGCGGCTAGTTGAGTCGTTGCGAAATTTTCGGCGCGATTTTCAAATTTTAAAACCCCCCTTGGAAAAAAATCCTGCGTACGCCCCTGAGCCGCACAAAATAATGAAATACTCAACATGTTTAGTAAAATTCAAAGATCTGATATGACTATCAAAATAAATATAAAGAAAGAGTTAGGAAAATGTGTTCTAATGCTCGAAACGATGTCCGGATTACGCAATATGCCATTTGTAATGCTCATACATTTCAATAGGTGACTTGCAAGTCCATTGAAATTGCCTTAAATTTATTTTTGACATTTCTTGCGATCATTTTTTTTTTCTTAAAATTTGCTGTTTTTCATTTTTAGTCACCTATTATTTAAGCTGATTTTCCATTACTTATGTGTTTTTATTAACCATTGTTCTCTAAAGAACCCAAAGAAATAAACAAAAAATGGTAAAAAGAAATCTAAAAGTAAGAAGTAATATGACGACAGAAGAAAAAATGGGGAAGCATGGTACGTAAATTGAGCGATCAAGAGAAAAGTCAGAAAGAAATAAAGTCAAATGGAAAGAAATCCTAGATTAGGGTAGATGTTCCGTTAAGTCCTAAAAGTAGGATCACAATATTGAGATATTCTGATAAGCTTCTTTTCGATTTTTATTATAAAAGAAGACATGTACGTCGGGAAAAATTTGATCACACATAGCTGACCATTTATATTAGAGAAAAGAAAACTCGAAATTATATCCCATTAAAGAGTCGTGTATAATCGGTTTAATCCATTTCGTCATTTTATTGGCAGTTAAAAGAATAATTAAAAGAACTGACTTTCAAGGAGTACATGAAAATGCATCAACTCATTACTCGATAGATTAAACTACTACAGGACGGATTAAGGGCGTTGCTGCATACAGCTAGAAATAAATGGGTTTGTAAGAAAGTACATTGTCGCGTATTCGTTAAATTTATATGAACCTCAAATCCGATTTAGTGACAAACACACAAACAAAAATGAAAATATTGTTGGACATTTAAGCTGCGAATAAAAGAGTGGAAAATCGACAGAGAAAGACATGGAAGACAGAAAGAGACAGAGAGGAAAGGGAGAATAAAACAGCAACGTAATATAACACCTCAACGAAGGAAGTTTAAGATCAATGGAAAGAGAGAAATCAGGAACAAAACGAGAGAGAGAGGAAATCAGACAAAAAAGAGAATAAGAACACGGAAATAATTTAAAAGAACGAAAATTAAATGTTACAGACTATGCAGAAGCGGCTGTGAGTAAAGCAGTCACCAAATCCTCATAACAACCTGAAGTCATCAAATCATCATAACTTTAAGTCATCAAGTCCTAATAACCGTAAGTCATCAAAACAACCTTAACTCGTCAAGTTCTCATCACAACATTTAATTAGGTCATCATATCCTCATAACCTTAAGTCATCAAGTCCTCAGAACTGTAAGACATCAAGTCCTCATAACTGTAAGTCATCAAAACAACATTGACTCATCAAGTCCCCATAACAACCTTAACTCGTCAAGTTCTCATAACCGTAAGTCATCATAACAACCTTAACTCGTGAAGTTCTCATAAGCGTAAGTCCTCATAACAACCTTAACTCATCAAGTCCTCATAACAACCTTAACTCATCAAGTCCTTATAACAACCTGAAGTCAACAAATCCTCATAACAACCTGAAGTCACCAAGTCCTCATAACAACCTGAAGTCAACAAATCATCATAACAACTTTAACTCACAAGTCCTCATAACAACCTTAACTCACCAAGTCCTCATAACGACCTTAACTTATCAAGTCCTTATAACAACCTTAACTCATCAAGTCCTTATAACAACCTGAAGTCAACAAAATCCTCATAACAACCTGAAGTCAACAAATCCTCATATTAACAACCTGAAGTCATCAAATCCTCATAAAAACCTTAACTCACCAAGTCCTCATAACAACTTTCACTCATCAAGTCCTCATAACACCCTTAGACCAAAACAATACAAGAAACCAAATATGAACTATGATATCATTAGCACATAAGTCTTTAATGTAATTAAGTTCTATTATACACTATGTACACATTCATTATGATACAAAATAAATCTTTTCATAATCAATCTTCATCTTTCCTAAAGTTTGTAACGACAGACAGAGGTACATGAATTTACTGCTGCAATGAATCGAACAAAAATAATATATCTGCATATATCATAAAAACAGATGCTTTACATAGAGAACATTTCTATTCAGTTTATACATTTCTTTTGACACAAGGAATCATTTATCACACAACTGTTATCACCAAGTAGCACAAATATTGTTCCAAACTTTCCGTAAAATATTCTGCACTTCACAAAAATTCATACTTGCATGACAAACGATGAGTTATTTCCCATTCTCAGAATATTAGAGTGGCATAATGCCAATAACTATATAAAATCACTTTCATTGCAAGTTCATTACAATACAAGTACAATGAAATCACACAGCAAGTAACCACACATTTCAGTTAATCAGATTCCATGATAAAGCAGGATATTATAAAACAATTATCCCCTCAAAGCTACAATATAATGTAAGCTTAAGATTTCTATAAAAAAAACTGCATACTGTAAACTCCACAACATCAGTACACATGTATCCAAAGTCTATATGAATAAACATTCCCCGTGGTCAAACTTATAATGGTTCAGTTAGACCCAACAAGAGGATTACAGTCAAGCCAAACAAAGGTCAAACTTAGACGAGAAGAGACCTTAGTCTAACTTCTCTTGTTAAACTCCACTTATGGCCAAGCTTTAACACAGTGTTGGGTTTAACTGTGAATAAAATATAATAATGAAACATCCATTTACAATAGTGCAGCTACTACTGTGCTTAATACAAAGTTTCATATTATAACCCCAGCTGTAGCTGATCTGCCATAATAAAGTGCTAATGCATTCAAGGAATTTCTTTCTACCGGGTGTCCATTTACTTCACCTGGATGGAGAGTGGCAAATGTAGATTAATGTCTTGCCAAAGGACATTAGTGCTGCGACTAGACTCGAACCATGAACCATGTGATCCATAGTCCGATGACATATCCACTAGACCACAACACCTCTATAAAATATATGGACCAATGTCTCAAATATCTATAATGTTTCTACAACTTCTACCTTACTCAATGCCTACTATTCTAATACTACTAGTAACATGTCATATGACTATAACAACTATCTCTTTAACGACTATATCCCTTATTCCATATTACAAATAATCAATGGCTAACATAATAACATTTAAAATGTGACCTCAATCTAATTACATCCGTGTACAAAACATCAGGCAAGAGTGCATTCACTTAAGTGCTAAAACAATCTTACACTCCAGATCATGAAAGCATACAATATTCATTCTAATTTCATCCATGTTTGCAAAACCTATGTCTATATCTGTTGTTTTTTTTGCACTAGGGTGAAGAATATTAATGATTTTATAAACTATCTAAGATCTACTCAAACATCTTTGTCAAGTACATGTAAAATTATCATCTATGTGATGTCCTAAGGATCTATCTCACGTCTCATATCTACAGACTAATTGCTAGCTATATAAATGATTTTTAAATGCTTGCTTTCAAAATCAATACAATTGATGATAAATTGGTATAAATACACTTGTGAAGAATGAAGAATAAAACAAAATGCCATTTACAATGAGTTATAAAATCATAAATAATATTGCTCTAGTGTTAAAATCAGGGAGTCAGTTATACAAAAATTGAAGCGACATAAAAATGAAATCATTTTGGACAAATAATACACCTTATTGATATTATACTAAACAAGAGGATGACAATAATGAAGGAGTATAAACACTACTTGAGAAAATCACTAAAAACTTGCGAAAAATTGCACTTCAAGACATCACTCAAAGGAATCGTTTGACTAAAGAAGCTGAAGAAGCTGACTAAAGAAGCGATTCGGCAGTATCAAAGTGTATTGAATTCATAGGGGGAAAAATGTAATACATATATGTCATAAACACAGACAATTTTAATTTTGTTGTCCTGAAACAAAAGATCTAAACTGATGGATTAACAAAGCAAAATAATTCCATAGAACTCTCTTGGTTACAGAAAGATATTGCTTATTTTGTGTTAATACAGTCTGTTTGGAGGTAGAAGGGTATTAACTCCTATAGTATCAACAGATGGCAGGGAGTTAAACCCTTCTCATTCTGAATAGATGATTTGTAAATTTCATGGCAGATCTGCATTTGCTTTATACTGTTAATTGTGTTATTTAGATTAGGTTATGAAATATGAAAAGCTTGAATATGCAAAAATCAGTTTAGTTTCTCTTTAAAAAAAAATAATATATGAACTCCCAGATATACATATACTAATATATATAAGCAAACGGCATGCTTTAATTATCTTGCATTTGCGTAGACCTTGTATAGCTTTGCTCTGAGTAATCACAAAACAAATCATGCTGCTACCAGTGTGGCTGATTCAAGCCTACATATCAGGATGAAGTAACAAACCGATTTTAGAATACCTATAGTTCATATAATTGCAAAATGATATTAAGTAACATTTTAAAGTAAAACAATGTGCCTAATGGGAGAATACATCGCTACTTCTTAAAGCACAAGATCTCATTATTTATACATAAAAAATGGAAAAGGGAGAAAATGAGTGGAAGATATAATAACTGTGCATCTTATTAAAACGACTCTGTCCAAGGGGTCGCAAAGGGTCACATTTCAAATGACAGGCATATACCGGTAGAGCTGGAAAAATTGCAATCTCCACATAGCAAAAGTACTTGCCACCTAAATAGGGTCATTACATAGGAATTTGAGGAGATGAGTCACACACCTGTTCAAACTTGGGTCTGATCGGTGTCAATTTGTAGGCGAAGACAGAGAGCTGGGCCCCGTCTTATAAAGAGTTACGATCGATCCAAATCAATCGAAGTTTGCAGTCTCCTATCTCTTATGTACATAGTTGTGATTGATATCAACCGCAAATAACCTGCGATTGATATCAACTCTTTATCAGACATAGCCCTGATCGTACCACTGATATTATCGCTAGACCAACTCACATCTCCATGAATAATAAATTGCACAGGGCATTTGACGAGCTTTAAACCTAGTCATCATTGTGTGAGGGTAGATGAAGTTTGAGGAAGGCATCGTCGCTCTTAATAATGACTTGTTGCTTGAGTTCCTCATAACAGCTCTTAGCATAGTTGATCTGTTGGGATACCTAGGAAAAGAGAGATTAGAAAAGAAAAAAAAGGAATGGTTAATAACTGGAAGATCCACAAACTACAAGCACTGATTTTTGGGTGGATCCCTCCATTTCCTCAGAAATTAAGAATTTCTTGTAATAATTGTATTTTAATAATTTATTTATGTGTACAGTGTATTATATTTGTTCATACTTTTTTGTAGTTATATCTGTAATCCCTTTGTTTATCGTTCCATTGGAAATGAAATAATTACAAATTGAATTGAATTGAATATCAAAGATAAATAGATAGTAAAAGAGGGTGATTAAGGTTGACAAATAATGGGGGGAGGGGGGGGGGGGGTGGATTCCCACACAGGGAAAGTCCACCGATTATAAGGGGTGATGGGTTCTTCTGAAAAATGAATCAAACAGAAAACTATTTGTCCATGACTGTGTGCCATACATTTTTCAACCATTTGATCTGTTTTACTGAGGTTTGTAAGTTAATGTATTTCTAGTTAAATTCTAGAGATAATGTGTAGTTGCACCCTCAATCTCTCACATCTTAATTTCTTGTTGTGAATTTTGGAAGTATTTTTCTGTGAAGAATCAAATTTAGGCAAACTCACTCTAAGCCACTATTTAAAAAAATAATGAAAAGAGATAAAAGTCTGAACCATAAACAAAATACTTCAGCATACAATATTTGATTACTTTATGATCGACATTTGGGTGAATGTATCTCCAGAAAATAAAGAGAGGCAGTAGACATTATATCTCACTCTGAGAATTTCTAGATAGTGGTGCTACCATTTTAATCATGTCAGAGAGGGAATGTAGCTGTTGTGTATTTTGCTAAGTTTACCTCCGACATATTATATACACAAAGCACAGTGTAACCATAGGCAGCAGTTTGAAATGTAATAGCATAAAGACTTATATACGTATATACATGTATGCCGCAGGAAAGGTGCGGTAGTTTACCAGTGGTTTTATAAACGCAGTACACTCCCCATTTTTATATCTATAGCGCACAGATATTAAAGTAGGTCCATGTAGGACCTTTGTTGACCCCCTTACCAGACATTCAGTACACAAAAACTGCTATGTAAACTTATGCTGTTTACCATAGCATATGGGAGCGACACTAAAATAATTGTTGACATACCAAAAACTGTCATGCTGTCAACCAATTCAAAACTTGTCTTAAAGGGATTGGGTAACTGTGTCTCAGATTCTAAAACAAAATCCTGGATTTAGCTCATGCTGCAATGATAATTATAAACCTTTAGGTCAGTCAGGAACCCCATGACTTTTACCAGCCTATCGCTTGTCTGATTATCAAGTTATTTATGACTGGAAATCAAAATCAAATTTTGCTTTTTCCTAACGGTTTTTATAACACTACGGTCTATTGGGGGAAAACGAGTATGGTAAAACCAGTCACTCAAAGATTTTTACTTTCTTGAGGGACTTCATGATCATATTGAAGCGCAATTATTTTAGGGCTTCAATATTACACCATATCACAGACACTGATAACACGTAGAGCCATACATCTCAGATGTAATATTGTTAAACGATGCCTTTAACCTACTTCCTCCCCACTTGCATGTCATTCAGTATACAAAAAAACTGCTATGAAACCTATGAGTGAGCCTAAAATAAAAGAAAGGCCAGGCCTTACCTTCTTGGCGATGCGTTCATTATCACACCCAACCTTGGGTCTTTCTTTGAGATCCAGACTAGGAGCTGATACACCTGCCTCTGTGTTAGCCACCTTGGTCAGCTCTATGTAATGCTTCCCAGCTGAGAACAAAATCAGATCGATGAAAAAGGCAAAAAATTACAAAATCATGTTCAAATTCAATTCAAAAGACTTTATTTCCATTAAAAACAAACAAATATATGATGTGATTTAGTGCAGACAGTTCAAAATAAATAGATCATAAGCATTAAGTCAATTTAAACAAACTGTGAAAATGAGTAGCAGGAAAAGGGAGCACCTGTAGAATGCTTGTTAGGAATGAGAACTAGAGTTTATTAAAGAACAGTGTTTCACACATTAACCTGTTTGCATTTGAAGCATCCATCAGTAACACAATGATAGAATACATCCAGTGTATTCAGCTCCTTAAGTTCATCATGATCAAACGTGTTTTGCTCTTGATGTACACCGTTTCATGTCGCTTTACATAAATTGTCAAGATGTGAACTTCAAATTTTGCTTCTATAGAGAGATATATTCTTCCTGTACAGAAATTATATTTTAGGTGATTGGTAAATTTTAAAGCCCCACTGCACTAGTTTGGCCAGGAGGGATTAGACCTCCCTGCATGGTCACTGCCAGGTGGTTATCTCATCGAATCAGCTCTCGATTAACATAAGATAAAGGGGGTCATGGGGGACCAATGGTCACCGATTAGGCATTGTTTGCTATATAGAGGGCGCGAGTAGCTATGAGTAGTGCATTAGGGCTTTAAGAGGAATGTTCTGTGGTCTCCAAGGCGCTTGGTGAGCTCCTAGTCCAGAATTTAGATGGTGCAATTTTGTTTCGCGATCTCTCCCATCCCCTACCCGCTGCAAGCCACAGATCATGATGGTGTGATATAAAGAGATACTGCAAGTTTTAATACATGTTTACATGTTTACAAGTTTACATGTTAATGAACTCTTAATTAACGTACATGTAAAAGTGACATGTGAGTAGACTTTCAACAGTATGTGCTCACATGAAATACAACACTATGACACCCAAGACTGACTTGGGTTCTGTGTGCTGGGTTTTATGTTACCGTACTTGTTTTTTTATTTCCTCCATTCTCTTCATCTGTTGGCCAGTAGAATCCCAGATGGGGATATTTGTGGCTGATTTCATAATACATTCTAGCTGTACACAACTTTATTTTTGGGTGATATGTACACTTTAACTAACCACTAATACACAATGCTATGTTATAGTGGGTAGTGCTGTGTTAACTCAACTTAACTGTATCAAGTAAACAATGGGTCAGAAACATGGAAAATACAAGTAGGAAAATGAGATGACACACATTTTCATGTTCATGAATGCAAAGATAAGGATGATATAACTAAAGAGATGATTGGTTCAGAGATGACATTCATGAATTTGTACATCAAAATGTTACCACTAAAACAATGGTAAAACGATGGTAAAGCAATGGAGAAACCGGCATTCAGCATCTCCTGAGAAACCATTTCCCTGAACCAATGACATTGATGAAATGACAGGACTACTGAAGATGCACATGTACAATGTATCTTGCAACTCTTGGTTACTTTATACCATGAATTGTACATGTAATGTTGAGTTCTGGGGGGTGTTTCACAAAACTTGACATCAGTGACAAATAACAGTTTTTGTTATAAGCTACTGAAATCCTTGCTTCTGATTGGTTTATCAGCAGATTTGTCACTGATTTTTGTTCTTTATCATTGAAAAAAAGCTTTGTGAAACGCCCCCCCCCCCCTGGTCATAATTGAAAATACAGTCAAACCTGTCTATTAAGGCCATCCAGGGGAAACAGAAAAACTGGCCACTGTAGACAGGTGGCCTTTCTAATCCAACAAACAATTCACTGCACAATAAACATATTCAGAGCCAGTTTCTACTTTTGAAATGCAGTTTCATCACCAGAACTAAAAATTAGTTTAAAATTTGCAAAGAAATACTTTACATATTGCATAGTCCTTTTTTATCACCGAAGGTAACATGCTAACCAGTATTCAGAAATTCAAAAATCATATGTTGAAAGCACGAAGGTTGTTAAAGTTCTCTACATGTAATAAAGTAAAACTATTTGAGTTAAGGCCCTCCTGGCTTTCAAAAGCTGAATCGCTAATGGTAAGTTGCTCCACTTTTCCCATGAAAAAGGCATGGAATTCTTTGATGTGTTAGGAAGAGAGAAGGCTTGGTAGAAGTTGTTTTAGAATGATAAATTCAAAGGCCTTTCTGATTGAAATACGCCAATAAACTAAAGTATGCCTATTATTATTAGCACAATATGAATATTTTAAAATGAAATTGCTTGCAAAAATACAACTCTATAATCAAGTCTTTCTCTATGATGACATGAATATGAAATCGCCAAAGAAAAAGAGAATGTTCGATGGGTAACATAGAATGTAAGGCGGAATATACAACACATACTTATGTTACAGGTATGTAGCATTGCAAACTACATGAAGCTACATGTATTTTAAAAAAGTAAGGCCCTACCCAACACTGTTGTATTACAATTGACATTTATAATTTAGTATAGAATTCTAGTTTTGGATACTGAGATGATACAAAAATAAGATATAAACATCAATAATGTAACATAACAACACTGGATTCTCGTATTGTGCTCATACATGTATACTATGCAGTTGCATGATTCTCGTCCCACTAAAGCTGGAGTCCTGTTATTGTGCTCAAAGCATTCAACAACCCCCTTCCAACCAGACACCAACTTCCTACACCCGCGTTACAAGAGGCAATTCAGAATGAAAGGCCTAATATCAGAGGACATAAAGGGACATCCTATTACAACTGACTTCTCTTATCTCCATGGGCTTAATACAGAGATCACCTGGTTCCTGTAGGCAACGGGTGAAACACTTTTCTACAACAACCTTGAAATAGGAAATGTCACAAGAAAGGCGGACCATGAATTTATCTTGGTAATAATGATCTGTTTCTATCTATGAAGGTAATGATACATTTATAGTTAAACAGAAAAATTAAAGAAGGATTTTTTAAAAAACAAGGCCAATGAGAGATCACAGATCTTAACAAAAAGTGAACTTAAACCATCATGCTCCATGTTGAAATTAGGATGGGAAATGTACTCCTCCGCAGGCAAACCCCTATTCTAGCTAATGGACTGTCCCGCTATTTACCTTCCTGCATAGGCCATGCATGGTGGAACTTGCTATGCCACACATATTGAGAGGGGTGTAGCAAAGAAGTCAAGTGGATGTGCTGGAGTCCCGCCGCATATTGGTAACGAACAGCTGGTACAATTATGTGTAAATGCACAGCATACATGTTTGTTAAAAGTGTCCACTCTAATTAAAAAAGGTTACAATCCTGTGTTCTGACACTCATTCTAACCTCTGTACACCAAAATTGTGTTAATTAATAGGTCGATAATTACAAACAGTCACCCCCCCCCCAAAAAAAAAAAGTCAGATATTTATACAATAATAGATTAAAAACCCCAAAGTGGGAAATTCTTTCAGGTTACTGTGCTGACTATATATATATATATATATATATATACTGGTATATATTTTTTAAAAATTAAATAAAATCCTTTTAAAAATATTTTCCCTTTTTTTTAAAAATTTGTTTTTATTTATTATTATCATTATTATCATTATTATTATTATTATTATCATTATCATTATTATTACCGTATTATTTTTTTTAATTTTTTTTATTTATTTATTTATTTATTTTTTTTTGGGGGGGGGGCTTTGCATTCTTACATTCACTTTTTATGTGTGCCTTGTAATGATTTTTTTTTCTTCTGAGGGGAGGGGGGGGGGGGGGGGGGGGGGGGGGGAGGGGGGACTTTAAAAAAAATTCAGGGGGGCACCAGAAAAGAAAGTCTAAATCCCTCTTCTTAGCTAATGCAATTCAAACCAATGGATTGAGAGAAGAACAAAAATCATTTCTACTCCAAAAATGCACTAAATAAGAGGATTATTCCATTGCCAAGATATACACAGTTAGTATGCGAGAGTTGCAATGCAGAAATTTCCACCACAACTTACAGGTGCAATGCAGACCTTGCTTATGACGGGGTTTATCACTCTCATAGTAAGTAGCTTATGAATTAAGAACAAAAAAGGACCCACTTTCAATTCTGTTATTTTTGTATATTTCAAATATTTAGACACTTTAAAAGGGTTCATGAAAATATGTTATTATAGCTATTTTACTGTGATTATTAAGACACTTTAAAATGATTTATGAAAATAATGTTCATATTATATTTATTCTTGGGAACCTACAAAAACAAGCTATGCTTTTCAGTAGGTTCCTGTTTCATTTCATAATTTTCAAATTAATTTGTCAACCATGTTCTTTATTGTGCAAACAATTGATATATGAAATGGAATAAATTTGAATCTATCAATCAATCACATGTTTCTGTTTTTCATTCAGGTCAAAGGTTACTGGTACCCCTGCATAAATCAGTTAACTGAAAATTAATCCACCGAACACAATTTTATCCTCTAGAGTATATCGGTGAGAAATGCATGATATGAAAACAGGATAATTGATAAATATCTCTCACTTCATGATGTGGTAGTGTGAAAAAAGAGTAACAAAATGGGTAAACCTTTAAAAAAGTGAAGGGAATGAAATTGCACCTCATAAAGGCCAGGGAGGAAAATACATGAATACATGATCCAAAAAAAAATCCAGGATTTAGCTCATGCTGCAATGATCATTATAAACCTTCAGGTCAGTCAGGAACTCCATGACTTTTACAAGCCGATCGCTTGTCTGATTATCAAGATATTCATGATTGGAATTACAAATTTCAAAAACAGTTTTTATAACACTACATTCTATTACGGAAAATGAGTATGGTAAAACCGGTCACTCAAAGATTTTTACTTTTTTGAGGCACTTCATGATCATTTTGAAGCGCAATTTTGTTAGGGCTTCAATATTACACCACATCACAGACACTGATAACATGTAGGGCCATGCATCTCAGATTTGTAAAACTAGAAACCTTGTTAAACAATGCCTTTAACAGTCACCAAGGTTACTAAAACAAAATACAAAATCATGCTCACAGATTCTCATCTTCATAACTGTGATAAAGACAAGGCGATCTACCCCTATTACTGAATGGTAGAGTCCGGTTCTTACCTTGTAGTATATGTTTAGCATGGAAGAGCTCGGAATGGAACACACTTAGAACAGGTTCCTGAAGGTTTATGACGGACAAGAAGTAGGTGCATTCACTGGTGATCAGGACTTGCATGCCGTCCGATGGGTGGTTCCGTAACTCGTCCATCATGAAGTATCTGATGTAAAATGTTGATTGGTAATATATTAGAAATGCTCGAGACGTTCTAAAGCTAGGATAATAGACCAGTTCACAGTTAGCATGACCCCAAATATCCACAGATCTTCAAAACATGAAGAGGTCCCACTTTGTACATTTTGAAATAATCACTCCTACAGTGATGGAGGTGCTACATATTTATAGCCTTTGTTTCCCCTTTTCAAAAAATACTATCATGGAGTGCACTGCTTGTGCATACATGAATAATGATTAACTAACTTTCATGAGCACGTATCTAGTATTTTGTCTCCGTGTATTTCACAATTCGGTCTGCAATGACCTTTATCTGCTCATGCTGCAACTATGAACTGGCTTATAGTGCATAGTGAGTCTAATTCTTAGATGAGTATTTGTAAGGTGACGTGCATATACCGTCTGATGTAGGAACAGAAATCACTGGAAGTTTTGGTGTGTTTTAAAAAGAAAAAATTAGTTTTACCCTTTGATTTATTCTTGAGAATACTATCATAAATTCTTGTGCTGAATCAAACAGCTGTATGATTTTTTTTTGCAGCTGCTGGAGATGCCCAGATCTAAAGGCAAAATGGCAAGGAAACATTTGCAAACTAGATGGAATTTTGACTGCGCGCAGTCGAAAATGATGCCTCCGCCATAGAGCAATTTAAACAAGTTTGGAGTTTAAATCTCCAGTGGTTCTTGAGATATCATGATAACAATCTCAATGTATGGAATTTCATAAGTTGACCTCTGTGACCCTTGACCTTTGACCTACGTGCTCCAAAATCTAATCAGATTGTCTTCCTATGGTGATACACACTATCATTAAGTTTGAAGTTTAAATCTCCAGTGGTTCTTGAGATATTATGATATGGTGATACATACTATCATTAAGTTTGAAGTGAAAATTCTCCAGTGGTTCTTGAGATATCGCGATAACGATCTCAATGTATGGAATTTCATAAGTTGACCTCTGTGACCCTTGACCTTTGACCTACATGCTCCAAAATCTAATCAGATTGTCTTCCTATGGTGATACACACTATCATTAAGTTTGAAGTTTAAATCTCCAGTGGTTCTTGAGATATTATGATAACAATCTCAATGTATGGAATTTCATAAGTTGACCTCTGTGACCCTTGACCTTTGACCTACGTGCTCCAAAATCTAATCAGATCGTCTTCTTATGGTGATACATACTATCCTTAAGTTTGAAGTTTTTACATCTCCAGTGGTTCTTGAGATATCATGATAACAATCTCAATGTATGGAATTTCATAATTTGACCTCTATGACCCTTGACCTTTGACCTACGTGCTCGAAAATGTAATCATATTGTTTTCCTATAGTGATACACACTATCACTAAGTTTGAAGTTTAAATCTCCAGTGGTTCTTGAGATATCATGATAACAATCTCAATGTATGGAATTTCATAAGTTGACCTCTGTGACCCTTGACCTTTGACATACGTGCTCCAAAATCTAATCAGATCGTCTTCCTATGGTGATACATACTATCCTTAAGTTTGAAGTTTAAATCTCAAATGGTTCTTGAGATATCGCGCTAACAAACTCAATACAAGGAATTTCATAAGTTGACCTCTGTGACCTGTGACCTTTGACCTACGTACTCCAAAATCTAATCAGATCGTCTTCCTATGGTGATAAATACTATTCCCGAGTCTTAAGTTTAAATCTTAAATGGTTCTTGAGATATTGTGATAACGGTCAAACGGGACGGACGTACGGACGTACGGACGGACAACCCGAAAACATGATGCCTCCGGCACCACCTTCGGTGGCGGAGGCATAAAAATGGATAGAAAATAACCTGGGCCTACCTCAAGAATGACAAAAGCCTGACATCCCTCCCTGTGGTATGGAAATACCTGAATTTTCCACAATGACCAATTTTCTTTTTGCTGCATGAAGTTTTTTTTGTTCAAATAGGGGGGAAAAGTTTTGTTAGCATGCTCATACACTCACCTTTCTCCACTGGTGCCATCACAGAGCACACTGACAAACTCCATGCCCCTGGAGTCGTGTAATGAGTACCTAGCAAGCACCCCTGAGGGACTCCTACAGCACCGTGGTGGTCTGACTCTAGGGGGCATCAGGTGGCTCTCGCTGGTGGTGGAGCTACGGATGGCATTCATGGTACCCGAGGCGAGGTCAAAGAGACCGGCAGCTGGTTTGGTGACGGTACCCATGATGCCACGCCCTATCCCCTTCATCAGTCCCTGAGGAGGGGGGGAAAAAAAACCGATAAGGCATTTAAAAAAAAGATGTTGTATTGCCCTTTGCGACCGACCGACCCCAAAATCTTGAAATCTATGGTTGGGTTTTTAAAAAAGCTATAAAATCGCAATCATTTGCGATATTACTTTGTGAAAAGTTTCCACCGAGGATCAAGCATCTTATGAGGGTTCGAAAACACATTTGGAGAAAATCCTTGTCTTGGGTTCAGAGATGGCGGATACTTAAAGGAGGTGTAGCATAGAAAATACTGGTTAACACCATCTAAAATTTCTTGTAGACAACTGCACGTAAACGAATGGACTTGATTAATGGTCAGCGTGTGCTAGCGTTTTGCGAAACAGACCGAAGCGCTCCTCACGATTGGGTTTCACATATGTTGCCCATCGTCTGTAGTCGTATTACACCCGATTGACCCTGAGGAAAGACACGTAGTCTCGTCATGCTACACCCCCTTTGTATACTTCACACATACACTAATTTGACGGGCATAGCCTGACTCACCTCCACCCCATCCTCTGAAGCTCCTTTGTAGGTCTGAGTGAACATACTGGTCAGTCCACCGACCACTCCAAACGCAAACCCCTTGACCCCTGCTGACAGATGACCGGAGCTGGTTCCCCCGTGCGTCTCTCGGATCACGCTCCTCATCTCCTGATGACGGTTGTCAAAGGTTGCCGTCCCGATCCCGTCAGAGATGGTTCCAGTCACCTGTGCGATTAAAATATGCAGCCCATTTAGCAAACTATATTCATGAAACAATATTCACGGTCACTACCCTGTCAGGATGTTTGCTTCATTCAGTTCGATTACCGGTACATGTACAAATGTACATCTAGTTTGACTTAATACAGGGGTGAGAGTGAGGAATTAAAAAAAAATTGTTTCAGGAAAAAAAAATGGCATCTAACAACATTCCCCCTTTCGAGTAAGAAAAATTGGAAAAATTGGAAAAATAGGGAAAAATCGGGAAAAGAAAAAAAATCCAGAAAAAAAATTTAGTGAAAAAAAAAAAAAATCTGCAAAAATGAAATAGGAAAAAATATTGAAGACATGCTCAATGAATCTATATATACTACAAAAGTTTGTAAACTTTGTAGCACTTGGTTGTTGAGAGCAAACATTCTTTAGTACAGGGGTGGGGCGATGCAAATACAATAGGCATAAATGGGGATACACAGATGACACAGACATCGACTGCGAGTGTGGAACATCCGGGCAATCTACGTCACATTTATTAAGATGCCCAATGCTGCCTGGAAGATCTAGTGGCAGCAAATGAGAAAGCTCTTCAGTGTGCAAGAGACTGGCAGAACATTTGAGCTCAGATGATGGACACAAAAGGAGGAATGCATTGTATAATAGTCTATTGGGATAAAATCTTGTATGATAATATACCTTTGCAGCTGTGTTTGACATGCCATGGGTCACATTCTTGACCAGACCCGTCACACTCCCTTCTAAGACCAGTTCCTTGAGACCATCCTTAAAGTCCTGGAGCAGACCGATGGGGTTACCCAAGAAGTCCACTGAACCTAAAATCTTCACTGCTTGACTCTTTAGCTCCTGGGGAGAGAATTTTGATCAAAAAGGAGAGTAACAAAAAAGAAAAATAAATCCATCTGAGACCATGTTACAGTGTTTAATACTACAGGGGGATGTTTCATAAAGATCCTTAGTTGAACTTATCTCTAAGTTTGACTGAACAATTATGGAAAACTGTTAGCATCTATGAAAATATTTTGTAAAAGTTATTTCAAAAGGCATAAAATGTTGATTAAAATCATTCATATTTTCTTTTACCAAGGAGATTTTATGTTCTTGATGTGGAATTTATGAAAAGTCTACAATACTTGAATTTTTGCTTATGAATATATTTCATTTCAAGGCTACAAACGGCTCTCCAAAATGTTCAAACCCAACTTAGTATTAAGTTTGACTTAGGATCTTTATGAAACACCCCCGAGGGCATAAATTCCATAAAAAATATCAGCTACATGTTTATAGCACCAGGCCTATCAGATAAAGAACATCAATAAAAGTCCGCCCGGAGCTACAAAGAACATTGTTGGTTTTGAAATGTTCAAAGGAAATTATTCAAAAAATGCAGATAATTTAATCAAAAATTTCGCTAAATTCTACATTAAGGATCTATTGATACGAACGGAAAATCTACATGTCAATCATACAGCACAAATATTCTCGAAATATCATACAGGAGAACTAAAGAACAAAATGCTACAGTCTTGCAAACACACCTTTGAGCAGTGCTTACAAATGGTCAAAAGTAAATGTCATAGCACCATATTCTCCACTAAGCGCAGGGCTAACAAATATCCAAGGTAAAAATAGCATTGCCCCACACACCCACCTCTGTGTAGTGTTTGGCGACAGACTCCAAGAGAAACTCCTGCGTCTCAAAGGGATGTTGTCTCGTGAAGGGATCCAAGGAGACCGGGGCTTCTTCAAACTGGATCAAGAAGAGCCTCATGCTTGTCTTGAGTTGATTGAGGTCTTTGGGGATCTTGGTAGAGGTGTACATGCTGAGACGGAAGTCCTTGGCGTGGATCTTCAGGGTCTCAAAGAAGAACCGCTTCGTAGGCTGGTTGTTGTCTCTGGGACTGCAAGGAGAGGAAAAAAGACCCTGATAATTAACACTGTTTTTCTATCCCAATATCTTCTGCATATACAATATGCTGTACAAGCCAATGTTTTTGTGCAAAGATACTTTCCACAATAGAGGGTTAAAGGACAATTTCGCAATTGTTGAATTTGTTTTAGGTCACAACCATTACTGATTTTTTACTTTTTAAGAACTATCGGTCTGTTTCTGTGGATCATGAAATCATTACAGTGTAACACAATCAGCATAATATAAGAATTAGTCTGGGATTAACAAAATTGAAAATAATCTATTGAAGTGCCCCATTACCATCAGTGTGGTGATGACTGCATGATGACACTAAAAATGTTGATAATATTTCTTGCTAATTTTTCCTTATTGAGGTGTCATATGAAAGGGCAGAAACCCAACTTTTTAGAAATATGATTTTCTCTTTGAAATTCAGATACTGCCCGCCAAATGACTTTTCGGTTTCCTCTCTTCAAATTGATGTTAATCACTCATGCGTGAAATATGAGTCATATGAGTTGCATCAAATGAAAGAGAAGGATCTAAGCTTTCCAAATATGTGTCATTTATTAATTATAAATGTGATTAAGTTATAATAAAACATTGATAATTCTCGGTTTTGTTTTTTCTGGGACGCACTGTATAGTGCTTAATAAATAATGTCTGTGAACACTTTCCATATATCATTACCCCAGTCATTAGATTCATTTACGTACAATGCAGACCATCTCCACTCCATGGGGAGTTTTCCAACCATATAGCACCGTGAGGGCATTTGGTAATTACTAACACAAATATTGATGATGGAGATAGTTTTAAGAGATGACGACGATGATGTTGGTAATGAAATTGATGATGGTGACAAACCTGATGGTATCATAGTGCGTCTCATCTGTCGTTTCCGTGGTGATATCTGGTTGAGAGAATCCACTCATTTGAAGCAGCTTGAGAAGCAGAAGTTCTTCCACATTCAGTGTCATCTTACTGACTGTCAGGACCAATCTCTGAAGTTCAAAAAGAGATAATCCAGCATTAATATCTGATCTACATGTATATTACTCTCTGTACAGGTGTATATCTGTCTGTGCCTTTTTCTTTTTCTCTAAATCTATCTGTCAGCCTGTCTCTACTCTCTACCTGTCTCTTTATCTGTCTGTCTGTCTGTCTATCTTTCTGTATGTCAGCCTGTCTCTACTCTCTACCTGTCTCTGTATCTGTCTTTCTGTCTGTCTATCTGTCTGTCTGTATGTCAGCCTGTCTCTACTCTCTACCTGTCTCTGTATCTGTCTTTCTGTCTGTCTATCTGTCTGTCTGTATGTCAGCCTGTCTCTGCTCTCTACCTGTCTCTGTATCTGTCTGTCTGTTTGTCTGTCTATCTATCTGTATGTCAGCCTGTCTCTACTCTCTACCTGTCTCTGTATCTGTCTTTCTGTCTGTCTATCTGTCTGTCTGTATGTCAGCCTGTCTCTGCTCTCTACCTGTCTCTGTATCTGTCTGTCTGTCTGTCTGTCTATCTATCTATCTGTATGTCAGCCTGTCTCTACTCTCTACCTGTCTCTGTATCTGTCTTTCTGTCTGTCTATCTGTCTGTCTGTATGTCAGCCTGTCTCTACTCTCTACCTGTCTCTGTATCTGTCTGTATGTCTGTCTGTCTATCTATCTGTATGTCAGCCTGTCTCTACTCTCTACCTGTCTCTGTATCTGTCTTTCTGTCTGTCTGTCTGTCTGTCTGTATGTTAGCCTGTCTCTACTCTCTACCTGTCTCTGTATCTGTCTGTCTGTCTGTCTCTGTCTCTGTCTCTCTCTCTCTCTCTCTGTCTGTATCAGCCTACACATCTCACCATTGTGTAGTACATGTACATACACATATCCAAAGTAACTAATCTAGCCTCCCACACTCACCGATGCATAGTGCTTGCCATCATTGTCGCCCTTACATCTTTGTTTCTCCTTCTCCATGCCCCATACATGTACATGTTCTATAGCACAACCAGATTTTGTTGTGACATGAAATTTTTAAAATTAATATAGTTTTGTGTGTCATGATTCAAACCTTCTGTGGCATGATGTTTTCTCGAATCAGGATCATTTTCTAAGTCTGCGATAGTTTCTAGCATGCAAAAGTTTCTGGTCTGAGAATAACTTACACCTATCACTTCTTGCACCTCCCTCTCTCAAATATTACTACATATATTGCAACATTGAGTTACCCTGGGCATGTAAGTACAATAAATAAAGGACTAAGTCAGGGATGCCAGTTAGAATTGATCCGAGGGCCTGAAAATCACCTAGAATGAGCCAGTTTGTACACAAAAGAACCTAAACGATGGTATGAAAATAACTTGCCAGGGCCTAAATTCAGGCCATTGCCTGAAAACTGACATCCCTGTTAACTAGTTTGCTTATTTCTGTAGCCCTCCTGCATCTAATGTATGTTAATTATGCATTCAATATATTTGTTTAAATTCGTTCATTATCTGTATAAAATTATATACACTTAAAATATTGTATCAAACCATATTATGTTCATGAAAATGTATGATGAAAAAAAAAAAAAAAAAGATGCAGAAACCAATAAATCAAATCAAATCAAATCAAACGATCTACATGTATTTGGCAAGAGACTGATATTACCTTGTAGATTTCCACTGTCGGGGAACCCCCTAGCTGCTTGGTAGCTACTAGGCTGAGAGCTGGCCGACCTTCTTTGTCTGATGCAAATAACATGACTGGCTTCTGGGCTTGAGCAAGCTGGTTGTCAATCTGACATGGAAAGCAAAATGTTCAAAGACGGAATAGGGATTGTTATCTTGATACAATATAATCTCATTTAGTGATAGACTCTTTATAACTGAACACCAACATCACTTAAATTTTTCTTGTCCTCAGTTTCTGTAGCATCAACATTATGATGATCATCATCATCCTCTTCATCATCATCACCACCACTACCACCATCAACAACAACACTACCACCATCAAAAGCAACATCACTATCACCATCACCATCCTCATCACTAACTTCACCGTCATCACTACCACCACCACCACCTTCTCATATTATCATCATCATCATCATCATCATCATTATCACCATCATGATCCACATCATCGTCGTCATCATCGTCACCATCATCATCACTAACTTCACCGTCATCACCATTATCACCCTCTTATATCATCATCATCGTCATCATCATCATCATCATCATCGTCATCATCGTCATCATCACCACCACCACCACCACCATCACCACCAACATCATCACCGTCATCAAACTCACCTGAATTTTACAGACGCTAGCATTGAGATCGACCTCCTTGCTTGTCTGTATGTAATGGACATCAATGCCAGACAGGGTAATATAAGCCAACTCCTCAGGAGCTCTGTTAACCAGAGACAGGCCAACACCTTCCTTCAACCATAGGGCAATCTACAACATACAAAGAAATAGAAAGAAATAGAAAATATCCACAGAATTAGCCGAAAATTGTACAACTTATTTTCAATACAAATGACATTGTTATAGAATATATCTAACAAAATATTAATCTTAATTTGCTCTCATGGCATATGAGTTTTATGACAACTTATAAATGAATACTAGGTATAGGTAATGGATTATTAAGATGTAACAATAATTAATTACTGTTTTCTTCATTCCGCCCACAGTTATCTTGATAATTCATTGAATAGATAAATTAACCTTTTTAGATGTTATATTTCTCAATTTAGTCACATGAAAAATTGGAGAAGAAACTGCAAATCACTGCAATATCATTTGAGATATGAACAATACATGTTTTTTACTGAAACACAGTTTTCTCCTTTACCTCTAGCTCTTTGCCCTTCTTGGAAGTGCTGCCCTGTTGATTCTGGCTCTCTGCTGTGACCTTTGACATCCGAGCTTTGACCTCTACCATCTCAAACTCATCTACGGAAGAGCCTGGGATGACGCTGGCTGGTTTCTGGGGTGCAGACTGTGACAAACATAATCAAGTTTAGCAGTGCATATCAAGGAGAACAAGGAATGAATTACATGCAAGACAGCCACATCATGTACATATTTCATATAACAGTCTGTTCCAGCCACTAAAATTGGACACCTAAACAAACACAACTACCAACCTGTTGGGTGTTGTCATTGATGTGCAGGGATCTGGTTGGTCCAGCAGTAATGACCTTGGCACTGAAGTTGCCTGATCCTGATCTGAAGTTTTAGAAACATTTTCCCAAGCCGTTCAAATATGTCAAGCAACACTTTTTACCAGTTGGATGTTGGCATTTCTGTACAGGACTCTGGTTTAATAGTCCAGCAGTAATGGCCTGGGCACTGGATTTGCCTGACCCTAATTTACAGAAACATTCTGTCCTGCCTACTCAAACATGAAAACTCTACAAACAACTAACAACCTATTGGATGTTGTCATTGATGAACAGGGCTCTTGTTGGTCGATCAGAAATTACCTTGATGCTTGTCCAAGTTGTTTTTACTCAAACATCTGGGGAGTGTTTCACAAAGACTAAGATAGACTTTAAGTTGGACTTAACTATGGCAGGCTGTTCATGCCGCTGTTTGCTCTCACCATTTACTGGTATTGGTCTCTCAAGGGACGTACAAATCGTGCTCATAAATCTACAGAATGTACCTTTTTTGATAGTTCATTATTGAAGGAAAAAATATTATCTAAAGATCAGAATTGAGAGACCAATGGTGAGAGCAACCAGTGGCATAAATGGCCTGCCATAGTTGAGTCCAACTTTAAGTTAATCTTAGCTTTTGTGAAACACTCCCAGAACTCTATGTACACATCTACACCTACAGTAGTTTAATACCTGCTGAATGTTGTCACTGATGTAGAGGACTCTTGTTGGTCCATCCGCTACGACCTGGACAGCGAGGTTGCCTGATCCTGGAAGGTTCTTCTGTCTGGTGATGACCTGCTCTAGAGGTATCTCATCCTGCGAAACATCCAGTCTGCCACCGGCTATCAGGATTAGCTCACTCCCTGAGGATACAAAAAATATATTGTAAGAAAGGGTCATTATTCTGTCTGGGCCCTCTTGCATAAAGAGTTGCATTTAAAAGCAAACGCAAGTCCTGAAAATCAAACCATGTTTGCGTTTGAATGCAGCTCCATCGCATAAACAGTTGTGTTTGATTTCAAACGCAACTTTCAAGCGCAACTTTCAAGCGCAACTTTATGATAGATATATGACCAAACGCAAAGTTGCATTTGTTTTCAATCGCAACTCTTAATATGCAATGTGCAGTTGCGTTTGATTGCAAGTATAATATTTGCGTTTGATCTGAGATGCGATCAATCGCAACTTGACTTTTATGCAAGAGGGCCCTAGAGTCTCCTAAAATATTACAGGTAAATGATACAAGAATACAATAAAATTTTAGATTAGATCAGATACAAATAAAAAGACATTCTTTTGTATCTTGGTGATCTGTTCTAAAGGAATCTTATCTTGAGAGACATCTAGTCTGCCACAAGGTACAAGGATTAGCTCACTCCCTGGGGATACATTGAGAATATTACATTAAAAGGTTGTTCTTCTGTCTAGTCATGACTTGCTCTGATACAATATCATCCTGAGAAACAAATGTCATAATTTTATTTCCGTTCATGTCCATAAATGCATCTATTACCCTTGGAATAATAGCAGGAGGAGACGTGATGGCCCAGTGGTAGAGCAGTGGTCTCGTAACTGGGAGGTGCCGGGTTTAAAACCAAGCTGATGCGCTAGTGCCATTTGGTAAGGCATAAATCCTCATTACCAAGTCCCTCAGAGAGGACTTAAAGCCGTTGGTCTCCTGGCTGCTTTCTTAGCAGTCAGGTAAAATAAACCATCAACCCAAAGGTAAAAGTTGTCTTGTTTTTTTCATTTCATAACGAAGTCTGTAGAAAACAGATAGAATGGATGAAGAGAAGAAGGCAGAGGAAGAACAAGAAGGAGAAAGGAACAGAAGCACCGATGTTACACTGACCTTCCTTGAGGCTGAGTAGACCAAACTTTGGCTGAACGACATAATTACTGTCTTGACACCTCAGTCGCCCATCCTGCAATAAATGATAAACATGTAAGTGGAAACTCTTTATCAATGTAAATTACATATTGTTTAGGCAATGAATGTATAAAATATATTCCTCTTATACTTTTCTGTTCCAAATGATGTGACAAAAAATACACAGAGTGTGTTTAGAGAGGCAGGTTAATATCGTTTTTGTAATAATGTTGTGCTTATCTATGCATGCTCATGTAGCTAATGCCAATCTGATTTTACAGTATATCAATGCGGAAAGATAATCCCAGTGGAATATACAAGTTTACACTTTGGGTGAAATAATGTTTTTTGAAATAAACAATGACAAGGTTTAATAGAGCAGCATTGCTAAATGAGAAAACCATGAAACAGTCTTGTTTTATCAAGTCCTTTCAATATTAAAGGCCGTCTGTACTAGTGTGAACAGGAAGGATTAGACCACCCAGCAAGGTGACTGACAAGTGGCTATCTCATCAACTCAGCTCTCAATTAACATAAGAAAAAGAGGATCATGGGGGACTAACAGGCCCCGATTAGGCATTGTTTTCTATATAGAGGGAGCAAGTAGCTACAAGTAGTACAGGGGGGCTTAAACCAAGTGGAAACAACAATACCTTGCCAAAGTACCACGTCTGTGTGTTCTGTCTCGCCTCATCTGGTCTTCTTAGCTTCAAGATCATCTCATCTCTGGACGTGAACTGACCATTGCTGATGTCCAGGACCAGACCATTCTTAGTCAGACTGCTCCTCCTCTGACCGGGATCCCTGGGGGCAGCAAATGCTTCGTTCTGAAGCAGACCGGTCGACGTCATGCGCCATAGCTGACTCCTCTTCCCAGGCTCCTGTAAGGCACATCAGATATTACCAAAAGAGTTTAAGGTTGTCCTACATTTTGCCATTGTGTTTATGATATTCAAAGTAAAATGAAATGAAATGAAATAAAAATACAATAAATACAATTCCTGGAATGCTTCCAGTGTCTCTAGGCAGCTTGGCGAAACCAAGAGTAATACAAGTACTTTGTAAGGTTCAGGGATGCCAGTCAGTTTTACTCACTGGGCCTGAAAAAAATCCAGAACACATTAAAGCCCATTATGTGCTGTACAATATAAAGCCTGAAAAAGCCTGAAACGGGAAGTTGTCAGGGCCTGAATTCAGGCAAAAACCTGAAGAATGGAATCTCTGAAGGTAATTGCTATTATCTCATCAAAATAAAACTATGATGCTCACCTTCTTGCGTAGGACGACTGGTGAATCGGCATGAGGGACATCCAAGACAAGCTGAGCCGAGGACCAGAAGTTCTTGTTAGATGATGACTCTCCAAATGACTGTAGACTTGAAGCTCTGCAGGGGGAAAAAGTGTTTGTTTTAATTTTTGCTGGTGTTATTTCCCATACAAGTCCAATGTAAATCAGTCCTTGGACTTTAAATAGGGATAGTTTTGTTTTTTAACAGTCTCAAATCCCTTTAGGGAATTATTTTTATAGCTTAGTATAATGATGTCAAAATAATTGCTTTTCTATTTGGAAATTTCTCTCATAGAAGTGTTATTACTTGTGACTCTTTAGTAAAAAATAACAATAATAAAAACAATACTTATAAAGTACTTTCCACCAAAGTCTCTAGGCGCTTACTATAAATGACAGTCATCAATCAAAAGTCACAGAGAAGAAATTCTAATAGTGCATTAGGTTCATTCAAGTTTTAAAGGTGGGGTCAATAGCAATGCAGATCAAATGTCCATAACAAAAACAAAAGCAGTTTTCCCATTCAAGCTTGTCTAGATTATAGATAATGTTGGATCCGCCTTTATACCCCTAATCATTATAACTTACCCTCCTTTCTCAGCCCTCATACCGGTATCATTACCCCTCCCTAATACCACTTTCAATATAATTTACCCTTTGAATGTGGAGTCCATAGCAATGTAGATGAAGATTTTATAGTAGAGATGGTTACCATCTTCAAGCTTGTCTAGGTTATCCTCCTCTCTAATACCCCTAATCATTATCACTTACCCTCCTTTCTCAGCCCTCATACCGGTATCATTACCCCTCCCTAATACCACTACCAATATAATTTACCCTTTGAAGGTGGAGTCCATAGCAATGTAGATGAAGTTCTCATAGTAGAGATGGTTACCCCTAATCATTATCACTTACCCTCCTTGCCCATCCCTCATACCGGTATCATTACCCCTCTCTAATACCACAAGCAATATAATTTACCCTTTAAATGTGGAGTCCATCGCAATGTAGATGAAGTTCTCATAGTAGAGATGGTTACCATCTTCAAGCTTGTCTAGGTTATAGACACTGCTGGAGCCTCCTTTCACTTCACACACCATGAGAGGGGGGAGAATCGGCTCATCCCATGCATACGGAACTGAGAATTAAAGAGAAGATAGGTATAACACATTTAACGAATAGTAATGAAGAAAGACTTATGGGGCGTTGCAAGAAAGTTGCAAAATTTGCAACTGATATTTACAATCGATTGCAACTCAACTTTCTTGCAACGCCTCACTAGTCTCCTAAATTTCCTAGGATTTTGTTAGGATTAAGTTTTAACAATGGCATTAAGTTAACTAGATCTAGCTTTTATTCTCCTCTTTTCTCTCTCTCCCTCTCTATCCCTGTCTTACTAATGGCAAGAAATTGGAATTGCAATCAATTGCAAATTTGCAATTAATCGCAGGACTTACACTTGATTTTGGGGATTTGCTATTGATTGCAACTTTCTTGCAACGCCCCATTGGAGAAGCTTTTTTATTAAATGACTGGCTTCCCTATATTTTGGTCAAATACTAGTTATTCTTGGTGGAGAATATATTAAAAGGTAATTCTTTGATTATGGGCCCCCTCCCCCCCCCCCTCCTCCCATGTTTATTGATCAAATACTTATTCTTGGTGGAGAAGATATTGAAAGGGAAATTGTTGATCATTGATTAAAATAATACACAACTATGAAAAGGTTATCTGAAACGGGTGAATCTTTGGTATATTTTTAGAGGACTGCCATTTACCTGACATCTTTGGTCTTAGCATAGTCCTAAGTGTTGGGTCTGTCACTCCTCGCTGGTAGTAGATGATATCAACCTGATAAGAAAAACAAAACAGACACAATTCAAATTCACTCCCTCTTCTACTACTTTACTTTGCTTCCTATGCCCATAGCTATCTGTAGGAGGGATTACTGTAGCCGAGACTACGTAGAAGTACGTTAAAATATGTTCAACTGGGTTAAAGCGGGACTGCACTACTTGTAGCTACTTGCGCCCTGTATATAGCAAACAATGCCTAATAGCAGAACCCGTTGGTCCCCCATGGTTCCCTTTTTCTTATGTTAATTGAGAGCAGAGTTGATGAAATAACCACCTGTCAGTGACCACCCGGGGAGGTCTTATCCCTCCTGGCCAAACTAGTGCAGATAGGCTCTTCAAAAAGTAAGCTAAAGTACTGCCAACAATTTGTATGCATGAATGTAAAGCCATTGATAAGTATGCTAAAGTAAAGTACAGTACGGTACGGTGAACTAGGTTGAAGTAAGTTGAACAACGTGTAACTACATTAGAATAAATTACTGCTACATTAATAAATATGCTAGATACCGCTATTTTTTTATCATGCCCAACAGATAAACTTCTGCGCATGATTTTTGCACATGAATGTCCAAGTTATTTCTACAGATATCCAGCCACGGATGGCCAGGGATGGCTACGGTGCACCCGTGAGCCTATGTTAAGCTACAGAGGTTTCCAATAAACTACGTAACTTCATGTATGTGTCACGATCCCATTAAAGGGATTGGGTAACTTTGTCTCAGATACTGAAACAAAATCCTGGATTTAGCTCATGCTGCAATGATAATATTTAACCTTTAGGTCAGTCAGGAACTCTATGACTTTTACAAACTGATTGCCTGTCTGATTATCAAGATATTTATGATTGGAAATCGAAATTTAAAAATTTGTTTTCCTAATGGTTTTTATAACACTACAGTCTATTCGGGAAAACAAGTATGGTAAACCGGTCACTCAAAGATTTTTACTTTTTTGAGGCACTTCATGATTATTTTGAAGCGCAATTATTAGGGCTTCAATATTACACCATATCACAAACACTGATAACATGTAGGGCTATGCATCTCAGTTTTACATTGTCAAACGATGCCTTTAAGCAGAGGACATAACAATGGAAGAACATTTCTCACCTCTGACATGTTGTCTATCCTGTAAGGCGGAGGTAGATCTGTTGTATCAGTGAAGATCACATAGAACGTAGCTCCTCTAAGGCGTACCTCAACGTGGACAATGTTTGTCTGGTTGTTGTTACTCCTAACAATGATATGAATGATATGTGTACATCAGCAATAATCATACTGAGGCCTATTGAAATAACTGTGCTAATTGATTACTATACAATCAAATAAATAAATTGGATTTGTTACGACACAAAGCAGTCCAACACTAGTTATTACACCGGGGCCTTGTCATATAAAGAGTTGCGATCGATCCAAATCATGAGAAAGTCCTTGAATCAATCCCAAGTTTGCAGTCCCCTATCTCTTATGTACATAGTTTCCATTGATATTAATCGCAAATAAGTTGCAAATATAAGACGGGGCCCTGGTCTAACTTACCTCATAATAATAATAATAAATCCTGGTCTAACTGTCTTTGTAGGGGTTAAATTAATTTGTACAATTTGGACCAAAATGTACAAGCCTTGCTATTAGACCATGGGGGCGTTTCACAAAGATCCTAAGTCAAACTTTACTCTAAGCTGGACTTAAACATTATGGAGAGCCATTTGTAGCCGATAAAATATAATCAAAAGCAAAAATTCAAATATTTTAGACTTTTTATAAATTCCACTCAAGAATATGAAATCTCCTTGATAATAGAAAACATGGAATGATTTGAATCAATATTTTATACCATTTAAAATAACTTTGACAAAATAATTTTGAAGATGCTTATGGCTTTCTATAATTGTTAAGGCCAACTTAGAGATAAGTTCAACTTAGGATCTTTGTGAAACACCCCCATGTCTAACTAACCTTGTATTGATGTTGGTCTATGCAAATTCCATCAAGAACCCTCCAGGTCATGATGCATATGAACACACACAGTAACTTGTCAAGGTCATAGTACTCCCATCATGACATTGCATCAGAATAAAAGTAATCTGAGTCTAGAAAATGTCTAAGACCAGTTATTAGTGCGAGTCTACATGTACCTTACCTCATATTGATGTTGAGAGATCCTGGTTGGTCTATGCGTATTCCACCAGACCATCGACAGCCCTCAAGGTCATGCATACGAACACACAGCAGTCTGTCAAGGTCATCACGCGGCCAGTGAAATATGACCTTTGACCCGGATGTAATGGCAAGATGATTCCTGGGATTCTTGGGTCCCTGTCATGTGAAAATGACATTAAAAATTTAAAAAATAAAGACACAAAAAAAAGCATAGATCTAGAATGTTCATACAATCTGTAATAAATACACAAACTGATAACCTGAAACGAATTATACATGTATGCTATCTAAACATAATGCATACTCAGTGTTCAAAATGAAAGTTAGATTCTGTATTAATTTCCTTAATTTGCTGCTGCTCATAAAATCCAATCATCTACTGGTTCAGTATTACTTTCTCTCTTCCTGGTCTGCATTTTAAACCACTTTCTTTATTTATTTTTGTTTTTGTTTTTGTTTGTTTGTTTGATTTACCTGACTGCTAAAAAAGCATGTATTTAAAGTAAGTAACCAGGGGACTGATGGCTTAAAGTCATCTCCAAGAGACTTGGTAATGAGGATTAATGCCTTACCAAAGCACACTAGCTCATCAGCTTGGTTTCGAACCCAGGACCTCTCGCTTATGAGACCACTGCTGTACCACTGAGCCATCAGGCCTCCTCGACTTTAAAGGCCAAGTCCACTCCAAAAATAACTTACTTAAAATAGAAGCAGAAAAATCAGACAAACCAATCAAAAAAAGTTTGAGCAAAATTGGATAACTAATAAGGAAGTTATGGATTTTGCTCAAACTTTTTTGATTGGTTTGTCTGATTTTTCTGTTTCTATTTTAAGTAAGTTATTTTTGGAGTGGACTTGGCCTTTAAACCATTTCTTCCTCTGCTCCCTTCCCTTCCATTCCCCCCTCCCCCTCTTATCTCTCCACCTCCCAAACTTACAATGCCTGTAGTGAGATGTCGCTGAGCAAAGGCAAGGTGATGAGAGGAGCGGTTCTCCAGCTGGAAGCGAGGTACGAAGGTCACAATCTTGGTTTCATGATAGCGCCCCCTACCTGGCCGAACATCAATACCGATGTTGTAGACTCTGTAAAAGAACAAAATACAAGGTGACTCGGTAGCATTGTCTCAAATTCTGAAACAAAATCCTGGATTTAGCTCATGCTGCAATGATAACTATAAACCTTTAGGTCAGTCAGGAATCTCATGACTTTTACAAGCCTGTCTGATTATCAAGATATTTATGATTTATGATAATTTTGAAGCACAATTTTGTCAGGGCTTCAATATTACACTACATGTATATTACAGACACTGATAACATGTAGGGCCATGCATCTCAGATTGAACATTATTAAACGATGCCTTTAAGAATAAGCCACTGCAAGCATTTTTTCATTCATCCATCCATCTACAACATTGAAACAAAAAATTAAAACTTAAAATCTGACTTTCAAAAATTCAACCAGGGGGGGTGTTTCACAAAGATCTTAAGTAGAATTTATCTCTAAGTTGGACTTAACATTATGGAAAGCCGTCTTTGAAAATATTTTGTAAAAAGTTATTTTAAAAGGCATAAAATGTTGATTCAAATCATTCATATTTTATATTATCAGGGAGATTTCATGTTCTTGATGTGGAATTTATGAAAAGTCTAAAATACTTCAATTTTTGCTTTTGAATACATGTACATTCTATTTTAAGGCTACAAATGGCTCTCCATAATGTTTTAGTCTAACTTAGAGTTACAGTGTAAGTTTGACTTGGGATCTTTGTGAAACACTCCCCTGGTATTACTGAACGTGGTGATGGACTTCTTTGAATTTCTAAGCAAAAGAGGATCTTACATGTGAGGTCTGCCTCCGTCTTGATGGATCCTGAGGGATCGTACTCCTGTACCGCCCTCTAGTGACATACGATGGCACCAGTTAGGTCTGCCTTCTAGCCCGATGATACTCTGTCCAAGACGCATCACACACCTGTTGGTAGTAGTTACACACTTACATGTCAATGCAGACTTCATTGAGTGATTTCAATTTGAGGGTTTAGGGCGGGTGTTAGTGTTTATTAAACACTATCACCAGCCATAAACATTGAAATGAAAATCAGCTAATCTTAAGGCTTTGACCTCTGAATATCGTCAACTTCTGGTAGCTAGTGTTATCGATTTTGCAAAATTGACCTTTATATGGCTGGTGTTAATATTTTAGGTACAAACGTCCAATTCACTAACACTAGCCCCTAGGGATTAAGCAAATGTTGATTTCTAGTTTGGTGTTAGTGTAAAGCTATCAATATTATGGTATCTGGCTCTTAATTTCATCAGCACATTTTTAGCTTGATTTAAGAACTCTTCATTGCTCTAAACACTAACACTAACACCCAACTTGAAATCACCCATTGTTACACTTCACATGATTTAGATAATGAACATACATGAATCTGTACGACTTACACATAGTTATAACAGGAATCCATACATGTAGGTAGTCAAGGGATAAGAACCCAGTACTGACTTCAAATTTGACCAAGCAATGATTTAAAACCCAAATTTTTTGCAAACTCTCAACAACAGCAATTTTTTGCAACAAGATACCTTTGCATTAATTGTAATTTAAATATGAACCATGAACTTTGCAAATCTTGACCACTCTATCTCTGTTATATGTGAACTAAGATGAAATTAAGAATTTATTATCCATTCTGAATATCAGTTTTTCGCTTGTAAAAGTTTATAGATCAGTTTACAAAAGGAAATCATTATCATAGACAATTACAGTAATTGTAAAATACAGTCATAACGGCTCTAGATGGATAAGTTACACAAAATCAGTTGTCTACGTTGATGCAGGCGCCCAAACCCCCTAAACAACTACAAACTGAAGAGGACTGAAAACTGAAAAGGAAAAAAGTAGTCTCACATGTTATCTGCTTTGCCCGGCTCCCTGTATGACAGCATGAGAGGGGCTACACTCCTAGCTCTCTCATGCTCATCGTACTGACCGGCTGCATCGAAATCAGCCCCCTCCTCACGGAACACCAGAGGCAACCCAGACTTGTTGATCAACCAGTAGGGTGCTGAGACAGACACCTGCAAAGAATGATGACATATGCATTACAAATACTACAAGGTGCTCTACTACTTCTAGGTTATACCATGGTTTCTACTGGTGGCTACTCTCTAACGCATTCACTCTTGCTATTTTTTTCTTCACCTTTCAAATTCTGAATGTTGTCTATCACCTCCACCGCCATCACCAACACCACCACCACCACCACCACCACCACCACCACCACCACCACCACCGCCATCACCACCACCATTCACTTACCTTGAGTGCTCTACCAGCAACACACTCCACCAACAGCAAGCTGTAAGCTCCTCCTCTTAGGATGTGTGTCTCGGAGCTCAATGTAGGCACACCACCATCACCACCACTACCACCACCGCCATCACCACCACTACCACCATCCACCTACCTTGAGGGCTCTACCAGCAACACACTTTACCCTAACAGCAAGCTGTAAGCCCCTCCTCTTAGGATGTGTGTCTCTGAGCTCAATGTAGGCACACCACCATCATCATCATCATCATCACCACCACCACCACCACCACCATCCACCTACCTTGAGGGCTCTACCAGCAACACACTCTACCCTGACAGCAAGCTGTAAGCTCCTCCTCTTAGGGTGTGTGTCTCTGAGCTCAATGTAGGCACACCACCATCACCACCACAATCACCACCACCACCACCAGCACCACAACCACCACCACCACCACCACCACCATCACCACAACCAGCATCCACCTACCTTGAGGGCTCTACCAGCAACACACTCTACCCTAACAGCAAGCTGTAAGCTCCTCCTCTTTGGATGTGTGTCTCGGAGCTCAATGTAAGCACACCCATCACAGTTGTGTTTGGCCGGTATGGTGAGAGGTTGAGTGCATTCCCTGAAAGACTCAGTGAAGAACTTGATGTCTTGTGAATGGTCAAGGTCAGCCTGTCATAGCACCAATGAACAAGCAATGGAGAAAAAAAACATTGGAATAACCACTGATTCATTAAATACTTTGAATCTCCCATCAGATATATTTACATATTGGCATCAATAGCCATGCTGCTGGTACCATAGACCAGTTCACAGTTAGCACATGTCCCAAATGACCCAGAATATCCACAGATCTTCAAAACATGAAGAGGTCCCACTTTGTACATTTTGAAATTAATCACTCCTACAGCGATGAAGGTGCTACATAAATAGACTTTGTTTCCCCCTTTCAAAGAATACATCCTCCTCTGCATCATGGAGTGTACTGCTTGTGCATAAATGAATAATGATTGCAAAACTTTCATGAGTACGTAATCCAGTATTTTGTCTCTGTGTATTTCACAATTTGGTCTGCAATGACCTTTATCTGCTCATGCTCAGACAACTATGCAACTATGAACTGGCTTACTGCTCCATGATCAATTTCTCACACTAGTGGAATTCTTAACTTCAACCCCTGACCGAGCAATATACCTCACCCTAAACATAATTCTAAATCTAGGTTTAACAACATATACTATGGTGGCAAATGCTTAGTGTTCAAGATCCTACACTTACTGAATTCTAATAGCACTACATCTAACCCTAACTCTAACCTTAAATCCCGGAGCGGTAATTCCTGGGCCTCGTCTTATAAAGAGTTGCGATCGATCCAAGTCAATCGTAAGTCCTCTAATCAATCGCAAGTTTGCAGTCCCCTATCCCTTATATACATAGTCGCGATTGATATTGATCCCAAATAAGTTGCGATTAATATCTACTCTCTGTAAGACGAGGCCCTGGAGAATACATCTTGAAGTATGCATAAGCATCTACACCTGACCCAAAACCCCAAGCAGCTTTAATCGTACATCTTCAACGCATATCGGATCAACTTGTTAGGTATTGAACTAACCGTGTAGATAGGTTCATCCATTCCTGGTCTGATGCAGCCTTGGACATTGGATTTGACCACCAGGAAGTTGAGTTCCATGGGCAGGAGATTGGTGAGCACCATGGGAGGCAGGATGGTCAAGGTGTGGCCAGGCTGAGCGGCCAGCGTCTCCGTCTTCTTGGCTTGAGACCGTCGGCCGAGGGCACCCTTGAAGGGGAAAGCTTCGTGCTTCACGAACAGACAGAACCTATCGCACACAGAACAAATTTCATCAGTAAGATATTGTATACATATGAAAAGGTATTGTGGTCGAGTAGATATCATCATGTCTCCTTAGAAGAGTGTGAATACTGTTTGGTCATCATGAAAAGATCAATTTGACCCAGGAGAGTCCTTTGTTTGTCCATGTTTGTCAACTGCTGTACAGCGCCACTAAACATGTTTCCCAATAAGGATTCTTCATCCTAATGGCAACGAGGGGCAAATAAGCTTTTAACTTAAATGCCTACTTCCCAGATATATTTCCAAGTTGTATATGCACCCCCATTGGATGTATAATTCTAGAAAAATGCATTTTTTAAAGTTTAGATCTTTCTTTGACATCTCCAGAACACATTTCAGTCAGTACATTGTTTAATAACAGCTATAATGTATCTTTGTTACCTTTTTCTTTATCCTCTCACTTAATATTGATAAACTTTACTAAAGTTTGTGTTTGCATTCTTCTTCCTGCAACAGGATGCATGCCAACTACATGTAGATGGCATAATGCTGTAATGAACACTGAACTATAATGCAAGTGTCATTTGTAAAACGCACCTCTTGACCCCAGGGATTATTTAATACGCAAATAGGCAACATGTTTAATATGCAAAACGCAAGTGGGGACAGGATCATTCTGCTTTGAGGTGTGCGCAAAATGATGTGCGTCCTGGGTCCGTCATTTTCATGAATCGGTGCGTCACAATTTTGACTCAAATATACGTCAATGTTTCCTAATGGTGAGTCAGTTTTTCTGACGGAGGGTGCATCATGGTGCATAAAAAGGTTGCGCACATCGATACTATGATGCTCCTTTCCCAGGGGTCAAGAGTTGCTTCATACAAATAACACCTGCATAACACTGGAGAAAACCCTCAAACGTAGCAATAGCAACACAGGAAAGATCCTAGCTTTCATACTGTGCATGTAAAGCTATAAGAAGAACCCTAAAATCAGTTTCATTTGTCGAATGCACATGCATCAAAGTGTTAAATATTAGATATTTCATGTATTAGTTTAATCATGTCTATATTAGTTTTATAATCATTGAATCCAATCCTGTTAATCCAAAGTTCCATTCAGGGAAGGTCAGATGTATTGGTAAAGGATTCTCGTGGTACATGTACATGTACGTTTCTATTAAAGATCCATTTCTTCACATGCACTATGGCACAACATTTTGGAATGTTTTGCACCTCTACGGGATGTCAGGATAGATGCAGGGACTACATGGAATTCATTGCTCTATCATCGACTTTACTTTTGGAAGTATCTGCTCTTAGAAAAAGAGCGATGATCAGGAGGGTGATTTGATGAGTGGGTAAAATGTTCCACCAAGAGATGTAACCTGTCAGATACATATGTATGTTTAAAGTTTAAAGACCCTGTCAGAAGTGAAAAATGAAACAGATGAATCATGTATAAACGGAAAGTTTACAACAAAAAGCCATAGACTGCAATGATATCAATTATTTGCTATTTTAGTGTCTGTCAGAGGAGTAACAGCTCCTTGAAAATTCGAAATGTAAAGCTTTGAAAATCAGAAGTTGTCAACCTAAAAACTAGCGACTCGATGACATCATCTTACGTGGAGTACGCATATTCATGACTTCACATTTTCTCTCCTTCTCAGCTACATGTATATAGGTTAACCGATCAGGTCCACATGTTATTTTGTCACTGTAACTGCAACAAATTTGACCCCTTTTGACGTGTAATTTGGAGTGGTGCGGACAATGAGGTTTAATTTGTTTTTGAGCAATACTGAGGGTTGAATTATTTTGTATTCCTTTATATTTGTATTCTATGTTCATTTAGCTTTCAATTGATATCAAATTGTATTTTCATCAGATAGGGTCTTTAAAGTTACTTCACATTTACATAAAGAATATGACCCATAATATATGAAAACAAATGTCATAGATTGTATTATTAAAATGATATACATAATCCACATGAAGCTACAATTAAAAAAAACATGGAAATTATTGGTTCCTTGCTCACAAATTCTCCAACTACAAAAAATATACAATAAATGTGCTCAGGAGGGCAACCTCTTCCTAATACATGTATTTTTCTTTACATAAAACTTTATTTTCAACAGAAAATAGCCTCCTCTTCACACACACGCTCCTACCTGAAGATACCCGAGTCTCCACTGTCCGTCCTGCACTCCATAGGGAAGCTCTTGGAGTCACCCGGGCACTGGGCCTGTCGCCATAGCAACGGTTTGTCGCAGTACGAGACGGCCCATCCTTTGGGTCTGAGGTAGATGTCCCAGGATACACAGGGCAGTGGGATGGCTACCTTCTGGTTGGGCTCTAATGGTTCCAGGACCTGGGGATCTAGGGAAACATTCAAGAAAATGCAAACTTTCTTTTAACTTTCACTACAAAAAGAAGATGGCTCGCAAAGTTGATATAGCGGCATGTTCACATGGTCAGCTCTCTGTCTTTGCCTACATATTGACTCAGGCAACCCCGGAATTCACTGTTGAGCACCAAACTTATTATCTAACTTTCACAAATTGTTAACAACTCTTATTTTGTTGCTCTAGTTAATTGTAAAATTCAGAGCAATGCTTCAGTTTAAGTTTGCATCAAGAACTTGCAAAACTGAACAAAGTTAAAGAAGTTTCATACTTGCCAAAGATTTTGGTTTTACAGATCCTATTGATTCTTTTGAATCAATAGGAATTTTCAAGATTATTGTGCCTTTCTTTCTTTCATTTGAATTGATTTTATGTTAATAATTGGTATTCTAAAGATAATTGTTAATTGCTAACAGATAATATATTTATAAAAATGAGCATTTTCACAAAAGTTAAAATTTAAAAAGCAAATGAAATTGATGAAACAAAATAATAAAAATATGAAAGTAATACTTGTACAACAAAATTAATGATGACAAATAAAATAAATCAAATCACTGATATAAATAAATAAAATTAAAGCTGAAGAATCAATGAAATTACTGAAATGAACCACTTACTGTCGGTCGGAGACTGGGGATTGACCAGTTTGAGTTCAATGGGTACACTCAGACGACTCACAACCATCAGCGCTGATCGGACCGTGATCAGCTTACGAGCACCACCCTCTAGGCTCACATGAAACACAACCCTGGCTGGTTGCTGGTCTGTGAACTACACAGTAAACATAGGAAAACTTTAACAGTCAACATAACAATCTCTAACAATATAGAAAACAGAATTATGCAAAGATTTCAGATTTTCTGGGAGTAGTCTTGAATGTGAGAATTCTCGTTCAAGTCATATTCATTCAAGAGATTACCTCAAATGGTGGTCCCTAAAGACCTATAAATCAGGTAAATTTATTTCAAGTACACTGTAGGTTTGTAAGCACAGGAACAATTGTATGCATTCATACAAATATACAGTGTGCCTGAAACTATTTAGTTTCATAAAAACTTACAAGCAAAATGAGGAGTTCATCATCAATTATTTTATTTCTTAATGAGTATTCACATGTACATTTGTAATTCTCTTTCCTACCTGTTCCAATTCTCATTTAAAATGAAGTAAATAGTTATACGATTTTAAATATAGACACAACAAGCAGTTAACAATCCAATTTAAAAAGTAAAATAAAAGTTGGTCATTATCATCCTCATCATTATTGCAAGTAAGCTGCTACAATGTAGTTTCTAAACAGAAGTTGACAGAAATGAATGTATTGTATAGTTTATTAAAATACTGAACCTGGCAGGTCATGATGTGATTTACATTGAGTTAACAAGGCAAAGAAAAAAAATTCACTTGCGCATCATTGTTGTAAAAATTATCATAAAATGTCAAAATGAAAAGGGTACAAAGAAAGACTTACGATGCTAGAGAGTTGATTATGATGCGGTTTGGCCAGTCTGAAGAAGACTCCGACCTTGTCAACAGACACTGGTGTGAGCTGCTCCCAGCCATCAACCTTCACAACCAACTGATGAACCCTCAACTCATGGGTGTTCTACAAGAAATACAAAGAGAACTTAAAGCCCCACTGCACTACTTATAGCTACTTGCGCCCTCTTTCTAGCAAACAGTGCCTAATCGGTGTCCGTTGGTGCCCCATGATCTCCTTTTTCTTATGTTAATTTAGAGCTAATTTGATGAGATAACCACCTGTCAGTGACCATGCAGGGAGGTCTAATCCCTCCTGGCCAAACTAGTACAGATGGGCTTTAATACTTCCCTTGTTTTCTTAGCCTCTCTGCATGGTCACTCACTTGTCACATGTGCAATTTTGCACAAAACAATAGGCACCAATTGAGAGAATGATTACTTTGAGCAACACAACTTTGCAAAATTACTGATTTCAGACCTTGATTAGCTCCTATGACAACCGTATGAACACCGGTATCAATTAATCTTGCACGGAAAACAGTAAAATAATCCTGAAGCCTTTGGTATCCTATCTATCCCATTGGCCTGGTCTCTATGAACGGTAAATCACATTGTCGGTTAAACTCTTCTGTGCAACCAAGTTTACTAATAACTGCCATAACTGAAATTTCATAAATCAAATTCTGAATTTTCATTCTCTGTATCAGTATCAAAGATTGCATGAGATAAAGTCTATGGGTAAAATTTTACATTGCATGCATTTACATTTGTTTCACAAAGTTAAAGTAACCATTTGGGGTTCAAGTTCATGCAATAGCATTCAAGTTCTTGGGTGGGATTTGCTGCCCATGGCACAGAAGGACTCAGGGTCAGGACTTTGAGAGGCTTTTTTTAACAATAATTCAACAAATACGCAACAATGCTTCTAACCTCCTTTTCAATATAAAGTGTATGGAAAGTTATTTTCAAATATTATTATGATCTTCCATGCTATTTTTTTTTCCTTTTGAATGACAAAAGGCAATTCTGAAACTCAAAGAACCAACATTTATATATGAATAAAAAAAGGTTGCACTGCAGCTAGCTTGAATTGACTGATTTCCACGATGATGGGTAGAAGGGCAGAGGAAGAGGAAGGAGAGGAGAGAGAGAGATGGGGGAGAAAGGGGTGAGATGGGAGGGAATTGAGAAAACATAGAGATAGAAAAGAAGATGGGAGAGAGATTGGGGAAGAGAAGGAATGACAGGGTGAACAAGAGAGAGTGAGAGAGAGAGTGAGAGAGAGAGAGAGAGGGAGGGGGGGGGGGGAGGAGTTGAATGTAGTACTTACCCTGTGCCTTGCCTTGCCCTTCTCTTCAAACATGAAGGGTACCTCTTGTCCAGACTCTACCTCTTTCCATGCACTGAAGGTTCTCTCTGTATTCATCTTCTCTTCAGGTGACGATACAACCCTGTAAGAGAAACGTGACTCTCATTGAGATACATGTACATGTGTCCGGACAACTTCTGAACTGTTATTCCTTCAAACATATGTTTGTTCTTTCTGTGTTCATCTTATTAAGTTATAGAAGTACCACTCTGTACAAGAAAACAGGATTTTGACTGAGGTACATAGACATCCAGACAACTTCCTTACTGTTACCGCTCAACAAACTGCCCTCACAAACAAACAAACAAACAAACAATAAAAAAAAACAATAGCAACAAAAAAATTATTTCTGTATATATCTTCTTTCCAATACAGAGCACCAATCTGTAACAGAAGAATGACCTCCAACGAGGTAGTGTATCTAAATAATTATAATAATATGGATTTATAGAGCGCTCAATTTGAAATACCGTCTCTATGCACTTCACAGATATTATTACCCCGGTCATCGGATTTATTCATGCACAATGCGCACCATCTCCACTCCCTGGGGAGTATTCCTACCATATGGTCACCTCAAGAGCATATGGCAAGTACTAACACAAAGGCTTTCATCATCCTACCAGGTCCCCATTTATCCTTACCTCCAGCATTTTTCTCCCCAGGACATCCCTATTCCTCTCTTGTTCAAACATGAATGTTCTTTCTGTATTCATTATATTTTCAGGACAGAACATCACTCTGAGTGAAAAATGAATTCATATAAAACATATCCACATCATAACCCATAAACAACAAAAATCATTACAGTGCACCTTCATGAATAAAACTGACATTAGTCAGAAGCAGTGTAAACTAGAAACCAAAATAGTGACTCACTTGTTGGGGGTGGTTGTGAGGGTTGCAAAAGAAAGCCTGCAACCCGACTGGTTCTTGATTGCAAAGGGCACAAATGGTGATCTCGTCCTACCACTTCCAGAGGCCCTCCTGTAGGGAAACGAAGTACACAAAAACAAAAGAATAACACATAATAATCTATATACCGGTATGAAGAATTTATTTCCAAAAGGAGCTACATCCATTTTTGGAACTTCATAGAAAAGAGAAATTGTTTACCAGATTTTGTACAGGCGTCTACGGAAAAGTGATATTAGAAGGTGCATTTTTTCATAATTGCTCTCAAAATTTAGGTAAATAATTTTTTTGAAAGACAGGTACTTTAGTGAACAATGTTCTGATATCAATAACTCAATTTTCATAAAATATGGATTTAGCTCCTTTTGGAATTAAGCTCTTCATATAGTATCAGATGCAAGTATTCACATTCTTTTATCCTTTAACATCATATATATATATATATATATATATATATATATATACAAATGTAGCCTTTGCCCCCATGTTTTTTTAATTTGAAAAGCAAAGCTCCAAATATGTAATATAGATTATGATTTTGGCAAGTATTGTGCATTTCTTTAAACAGATTGGGGAGCAATTGAAATTTTCTATGAATCTATAAAAAACAAAACAACAACAACCCACACTTAACGGAAAAATTAAAATGTATTGTAAATCTACACAATTTCACCAATAAATATATTTCACAATGGAATAGATTCCAGAGGTATAACAAAATAAGAAAAAGAAAAGGAAAACCAGTACCAAGAAACAAACCTGATAACTGTATTAATGATACACAAATTTAAAATATCACCTCCAGTTAATATTAAAAACAAAGAAGAAAAAGTTCCTATTCAGAAATAAGCACCACTTATATTAATACAAGCACCATCCACTGACCCTCCCTTGCTATAGTAGTCTTCTGTCCAGCTCTTCTTTGTATTGCTGTAGAGATCGATGAGGGCGCTAGTCACGTTCAGATCCAACCTGTCATTCACTGTAGATATTACACGAACAAAGAGAATTTCAAAGTACAGTAATGTAGAAGTTGAAAGCCAGTGAAATACAACGTTGTATAACCTGGGGTGTATTTCACAAAGACTAAGATTGATTTTAAGTTGGAATTAACTATGACAGGCTGGTCATGCCACTGTTTGCTCTCACCATTATGATCTTTAGATAATATCTTTTCCTTCATTAATGAATTATCCAAAAGTGTACATTCTGTAGATTTGTGACCATGATTTGTATGTCCTTTAAGAGACCAATCCCAGTAAATAGTGAGAGCAAACAGTGGCATGAACGGCCTGCCATAGTTAAGTCTAACTTAAATTTAATCTTAGTCTGTTGTTTCATGCATTTCATAACTTGCTTTTCATAGCTTGCTTTGCTTTTCAGTGGACCTCTCCATTTTTATCAAAATATAAATGCAATTAAATTTTAAAATTCATTTTTTTGTCTTCCTAAAATGTATAAATTATTATTAAGATTTGTTTATTACCAATGTAACTATGTTTTGTATACATTTTACATTGTATTCGTTATTATGTATTGTATTTTGTTGGAAATGAAAAAATAAAAATGAAATGAATGAAATGAAACATGGTTCGATGCCATTCCACTGGATTACATATCTATGAATTTTCCGTATTTGTTTGCTATACTAAACAAATTTCTAAGCTTATGCATCAGATTAAAATATATTATCAATCTACACAATGTCACAAGAAATATATTTCACAATGTATTAGAAGCAATAAACAGTTACAATTAACAGTTTTCAGTCTATAGAAATGTAGATGATTTCCGACAATATGATGTATTTGAGCTGGTTTGTGTGTTAGTTTGTTATTTTTGTTTAGTTAGGTGTGAGAAACTTACCTTTCATTTGAATGAAGAGTCTTTCCCCATACATCTGGCTTGCGGCTTGCTGGATCCATTCCACATTGCACCTACACAAACAACAACAAGAAAATGTTACATGCTATACACATGTAGGTAGACTAAAGGATGTTATCTTTCATCACGATATGATCTCCAGATTATCATTAAACCATAAACATCCTTCTAACCACCATCTCTCTCTCTCCATCTCCTTCTCCTCTCTCTCTCTCTCTCTCCCTTCCCCATCTATCTCTCTCTCTCTCTCTCTCTCCCTCCTTTCTCTCTCTCTCTCTCTCTTTCCCTTTTCCCCTGTCCCATCTACAATGTATATCCTTGAGTTTGTTTTTTCTCTTTTTTTTCAATCTAGACTAGTCTTTAAAAAAAATGTACTTTCAATTGCAAAATACACCAATGCACTATACCATTATTTTTTTTAAACAATTGATGTTTGCACATTATGTAAGTTTGAAGTGTTTAATTATACAAGTAATACTTTTTAATATGGGTTTTTCTGTTACTCTTATTTCCTTTTAGTGGACCTTTTCAACCTTTTCATCTGTAAACATTTCCACAATTCAGCTCTTAGCCGCGACATATTTATCTTACATTATTTTTGTATATTCTTATTTGTAGTATTATTTGTATTTGCATGTTTTCATAACAAACCTTTTATTGAATTGAATTTAACCATAAACACCCTTCTAACAACCATTACAACAAAGATCCATGCTCTAAGGTAGTGATTAGCTAAGAGCAACAATGATATCCTTTCAACAAAGATTGGTATATTTGATAACAGCATACCCCCAACTGAACTAAGAGACTTGCTTCCATGGCTCTAAGCAAGGCTCCCAGACCGAGAGACCGCTAAGGTCATTTTCAGCAGCTAGCAACTATGACATCCTTTCACAATGAACATTACATTTATTTAAAGCCTGTCTGCATTAGTTTGGCCAGGAGGGATTAGACCTCCCTGCATGGTCATTGACAGATGGTTTTCTCATCAAATCAGCTCTCAATTAACATAAGAAAAAGGGGACCATGTGGGACCAATGGTCACCAATTAGGCATTGTTTGCTATATAGAGGGCGCAAGTAGCTGTAAGTAGTGCAGTGGGGCTTTAAAAAGAAAAACAAACAAACAAACAATGAAAACATTCCAACCGAACCAAGACACTCACTTCCATGGTTCTAAGCAAGGCTCCCAGCCCGAGAGACTCCTATGATAGTAGTCAGCAGAGAGAACACAAGCAGCTTGACCTTGGGCGCTAGGGAGAAGCTTCTGAAAGAAGTTGAGGTTCTGGCAGGAGATCTCTATCAGAGGGATGTCGATGTTACCGCAGTCATCGATGAGGGTGATGGCAAGGGAGCCAGCTCGCACCTTGAGCGAATAGAAATAAATTGGTGTAACGCAATGAATATCAGATGGTACAAAGATCAATTTTTGTGTTAGAAATTATCACTATGATATTAATAATTATTAATAACGATGTATGACTGTTGACTGTGATGTTGACTAAAACCCCCGAAATAGAGTGCTGAGCTATTCATCTATCAATGTGAATCACATGGTTCGCAGTTCGAGTCCTGCTGCGGCATGAATGTCCTTTGGCAAGATATTAATCTACATTTGCCACTCTCCACCTAGGTGTGGGAAATGGGTACCCAGTAAGAAGAATAAATAATGTTTAAAGGGCCCTCAGGAAGAACAGTGTTAATACTGATGAGGCTACCCTGGGTAAACAAGTCCATTGTCATCTCCATCATCGTTATTATTTTCATCATCATCATCATCATCATCATCATTATCATCATCATCATTACCATCATCATTATCATCATCATTATCATCATCATTATTATTTGGATCATCATCATCATCATCGTCGTCATCATCATCATCACCATCACCATCATCACCATCACTACCACTACCACTACCACTACCACCACCACCACCCTCATCATCATCATCATCATCATCACCATTATCATCATTATCATCATCACCATCATCATCATCATCATCACCATCATCATCATCATCATCACCATTATCATCATCACCATCATCATCATCATCAATATCATCATCACCATCACCATCACGACCACCACCACCATCATCATCATCATCATCATCATCATCATCATCATCATCATCATCATCATCATCATTGCATTCAGGCCCTGAACTCCTATTCTTGGTAAAAGATCAAACATACCTCGATTCCTGCAATCTCCATCTTGCCGCTGCCCCCATCCTCCCTGTCCGGTTCCCTAGGGCTATGAGCCGGGCTCGAAGCAGGAACAGGCTGGGCATTCTCTAGGAGCCATCCTGCAGCTAGGTCCAGTCTGTAGTTACTCCTCTCCAAGGCCTTGCGACAGTCTTGAGTATGGAACCCTAACTCCTTCAACTTGGCGACTAAGATGGAACACAATGAAAACAAAGGTCACAGAGGTCAACTTCTGAAATTACCAATAAGTGGGCGTTGTGGCGTACGCCTGTAATCAAGCTAACAATGGAAGTTACAAACTGATTCAGCCAAGGACGCAGGTTCGAAACTGAGTCACGTCTTTCAGATGCTGACGTTAAAGGTCAGTCCCCAGATGTAAATAATCATATCTGATTGATACACGTCTGTAAAAACACAATTATACACACACACACTCAAGACAAAAACTGATGCTCAAATATTATGAACACTCTAAACTGATACATGGATTTTATGTGTACCTCAAGTTGATACCGTATTTGCCGGCGTAAAGGCCGCAGTATTTTTGGAAGAGAAAATATCAAAAAGTCGGGGTTCGGCCTATGCCACAAAAGAGTAAAAAAAATTATAAAAAAGTAAGTCAAAACCAGCCCAAATTTGCACATATGGGACTAGATCTACGAACAGTACAATAACTATACATTTCCACACATCTTACCGACAATTTTATCTTGCATTGTTGACATGAAGACGAAAATAAACTTCCATAAACAACATATGCCAATAGATCTTGATCTAAGTTCGTGCCAATGCATTGCAAAAGTAAAAGAAGGGCCCGTTTAACGGAGCTGCCGCGAAGTCGCTATTTTGAATCCATTTCAATACACAAGAGAGAGGCACAATGTATACATCACAAAAAACTACATAAGCTAGCATCAGTGCGGGATGGCCGAGCGGTCTAAGGCTGTGATTTTAGTCAAATCAACATTTATACGTAAGAGATCAAATCCCGACTTTGACAAAAAGTTTTTTTTTTTTTTTTTTTTTTTTTTTTTTTTTTTTTTTTAAATGTCAAAATCGGGGGTGCGGCCTATACGGCGCTGCGGCCTTATCGCCGGCAAATACGGTAATGACAATAATTTGTTGCCATACACAATCTCGAATGGCAGTGTGTGGGATAAGAATTCTAGAAAATGCATCTGATTGGAAGCTTACTTTGTCTCTTAATCTTTGACTTGGATTGCGTCTTCTCCTCTGCCTCGTTCCTCATATTATCCACCGCCTCCACCTCTTCCTCCTCGTCCTCAGAGTGTTGTTTCTTGATCATCTGGGATGGCAGTGAGTTCATGATGCTGAGGAACAGCTGAGCATCATGGTAGGATACGCGGATGTTCAGCGCTTGTATGTGAACCTACAAATGACAGAGTAATAATATTAATAAAAATTTTAAAAAACGTTTTTCTATAACGCAGAACATTTACCCATAATTGCATGTCTCTATGCGCTTAACGTAGCAAAAGAAGAAAAAGTGGTTATGGTGCACTGGGCTATAATTGTGAATTGTTTACAAGCTACTAAATAAGTATGTTTTCAAATTGTTTCTGAACTTTTTGTATGTTTCTATATTTCTAAGGTATTCCGGCAAGTTATTCCATGAAACAGTGACTGCATATGACAAAGACCCTTCCCGGGAAGACTTTGTCATAGTTCGTTGGACATAAAATGGAGACTTTTTACTGTAATGCAGCATTCTTTCTGGTTTAAACTGTACAACCACTTTCACAAGTGATATATTAATTATTGTTTGATTCAAACATAACATCCTAAAAGTTCAATAAAAATGTATGCATTATAAAGCAATTATTAGAGGGTGTCTTCTACCCACATAGGTGTATCCAAAATAATTTTAAAATATTTAAATTTTATTTGACCCCTTTGACATTTGGCATGTAAAAGGAAAATGACAAAAGTCAGCTTTACAAGTACATACAGGAGCATGTACATATGCTAGCATATATGTGATGATCAACGCCTCGATTTTGAGGATGTCTAGCTACTACTACACCACTTGGTTTTGGAGTCTCCTGTGTGTCCTCTGATGGCCAAAAAATTGCCAAGTTTGGACTGGCAGAGACATCCACAGGTTAGGCAGGCAAATTTTGCTGCTGTTGTACCACTGATCTTTCTCACTGCTCATTTGCCATCTCAAGCTTATATATATGGAGGTTTGATATGAAAGGCCTACCGTGTACTTAACAAAAATAAGACCTTCATAGATACAGGAAAGTAATTTTTATATACAAGAGGTCCCAATAGCAGGTATGAATGTTACAGCATTGTATTTGTAGTAACAGCAGTAGGTACATGTAGTAGAAGTAGTATTTTAGTCAAACCTGTATAACAAGAGAACAGCGAGGTGGTCTTTTTAATATGCAATCACAAAGACAGTTGTTATTGGCCCTGTCTTACAAAGAGTTGTGATAGATCCAAAAATCAATCACAAGTTTACAGTCTCCTATCTCTTATGTACATAGTTGCGATCAATATCAATCACAAATAAGTTGCCATTGATATCAACTCCGGGCCCTGGAAATTAATGGACTCACCTCCAATATAGCATGGGCATCCATGATGTCTAGCAGCCCACCGAGCTGCTGCCCGCTGTGAAGGTGAGATGACGTCCCCTTCAGCTCCACGTTGATGGTGCTAGGATCAACGATGGAGAGTGCGGTGTCCTCTTCACTACTCATGCAGCAGGAGAATACCTCCAACCCTTCTAGACCGCATGAGAAAGGGTTCTCCTTCGAGACGGGCTTGTAGGTAAGCACTGCACAGGTAGACTGTGACAATAAAACAATGGAGGAAAAATAATGACTTTGCAAGGAACTGCTGACAAAAAGATGTGAAAATCTGTTTTCTAACAAGTTTTCCCCACAAAAGTTACTTTTTAATTACAGTAAGTTGAATGTACCCACAATTTGCGAATGTGTAGAAAATACATGTATATATTCATATCATCTGCATCATATGATCAGAAATTTGTAATATATTGACCAGGTTCTGAGAGATACATGTATAGGAAGCTGGATAAACGTATACATATATGGGATTTTTGCACTTTATGGTTTTGATCTTCCTTTGGTTTTGATCTTCATGCTACAAAACTGAACAACTGAAAGGTCTGACCGAAAATGTGTGTTTGTGTCCTTCAGCCAGGCACAATGACAGCTGACAATTAGTGTGGCAAACAGAGTGCTTAAAGTGAATCATAACTCATAATATATTCTGTTTGAATATTACCCCAGTTATACCTGTGGACTACCGATTTCAGTGCTCACATAATTCAAGGAATTCCTTCCTTCCAAGTAAGTATTTAACCCCTGGGTGGAGAATGGCAATTGTTAATTACTGTCTTGCTAAAGAAATCTATTGTACCTTAAAGATGACAGCATTGGAATTACTAGATGATGTATAGTCTGGGATCACAAACTCTGTTACAAATACAGCACTGTGTGAAACTTTGTGAAAATGGCACACAAAGTACTCTCATGAATACTATAATGCTTAATAAGGAACGTTTGTGTTTGTGTGTTGTTGTATTTGTGGGGGGGGGGGTGGTAAATGCTTACCTTCAGGATGACTGCATTAGAATCACTAGATGATGTGTCGCCTAAGATCACAAACTCTGTCTCAGTCACATTCACCTTGAAGTCTGAGTTCTTCTCAACCTACAACAAGAAGGATATGGTCAAGAAAATAAAAAAGCAATACTTTATCGTACTCTTTTGAAGAGAAGAGGGCATATGTTTTTCTCTAACTCAATTCACTATGTACAAGTGTATGGCTAATCAATTGTACAGTATCTTTCACATTATATGAGATGTTACTCTATCTCACATTTCTAGAAACTAAAGAAAACGTCTTTCATTTATTTCTCTATCCATCCTTTCCTTCATCAATTTATCTTTCCATGTATCAGTCTGCGGTGTATAGTCTGATGAGTGGTTCTACAACTGTCCAGGAATCTAGTATTGCAGTCACATTAGTACTGTATACTGTATCTATCCATCTATCTATCTATCCTTCTATGTTTACTTACTTACTTACTTTGATGTTGAAGTATAAAGATAAACTTATTTGCACCTCTAAGTAATGATATCTCTCTGGTATGGACTGTACTTAATCTTTCCATCTATCCTTCTACCATTCATCTATCCATCTATCTATCTATCCTTCCATTCCGTTTACCTGTTCTCTGTGTGGTACCCTCTTGGTGAGTATGCCTGTTCCAATGCTGACCGGTGACCTGGATCTCTTATCTACCGTCGTTACGTTAGAAGACTCTGTTGAAGGGTCCAGGGATGTTGAGGCTTCTGACGATGCCCGGGCGCTTGCTCCTTCTGATCCTGTCATAAAAATAACTGAAGGTTCACCAAACTAGTACAGGACTTTTGTGCAGAAACGTGTATACTCTTCATTATCTGACCAATATAGGGGAACGCCATCTACATTTGTGCGTCTCCTTTTGGACAACTGCGCGTAAAAGAATGGAATTGATTAATGGTAATCAGCGACTTAATCTCTACATAGTCAGCATTCTCAAAACAGACCGGAATTCTCCTCAAGTACTGGAAACTATTGCATGCTTTTTCATGAAAAACGTGGGATAGTCTCAGTAAATGAATCCCACGTGACCATGCATGACCAATCATTTGATTAGGATCTGGGAGTGAGTTGTATAATAACATATGTCCTATGAAAAAAAAGATAGCTTGCCTTGTACTGCCTGTGAATCATAGGCCAGTAAGAAATCCTTGACCGCTAGGAGGAGGTCAAAGACACATATGACTCTCATGTTGTTGAGCAGGGCCGTTGCTCTGGTACTATCAGCCTGGGATGTGAAGTGCAGCTCCAGCTGAAGAGGGTTCGGGTTGCGACTGTGATGTCTGGTAGGGGTCAGGATCTCCTCAAAGACGTTGCTTCTCTTCTTACTTGTATCACCTAAAATGAAAGAGGAAAGAGTTGAGTGAAGGTTACGCTTCTTCTTCTTCTTCTTCTGGTTAAGTCTGCCTCCTTCAAATTGACTGAAGATTCTTGCAAACTATGTGCGTGTGAACAGCAATTTAAATCCATTTGTGTGCTATTTACATTATAATACAGTTTATTTACAAATATTTACAATCTTATGTATAAGCTTACAGAAGCAAGAGCTGTCAATTCCATTGCCTGTATATTGCCTGAAATCGAACCAGCTACCTGCAATCGTGAAGGAGCTTCATCTGTGGAATTCCTGTATAGTCCTGTATAGTTTGCTTGAGAACATAGCTTAAAGGTATAGACCAATTTTGGGAACGCCCCCCTCTCAAAAAATAAAATGAAAGCTCTTATTACCAATCATGTGAAAAAATGTTTCGACTAATACGTGATGATACAAATTTTGCCGGAAAACCGCCTACTAATTGATATATTAGGTAAATTATCATATCGATTCGGCCTGGACAGATATCGCGAATGCCCTTTAATATTGAACATTTGGACATATATTTCTGATTTTTTGTGAATTTAGGTTGAAGTATTACCATCTAAACCTCTGAAGGCAATATTTAAACAATATTGTATGGATATTTTGCACCCAAAACACTTGAACCGCAATTTTACCACTACCGGTCTATATCTTTAATTGACTCAACTGGTCTCATTGAATTGATATATATCATCTGTCCAGAGCCAGAAGTGAATTAACTCTGTGCTAAAGCACATGAGTTAATGCCCTTCTGGCTCCAAACAGACGATTACTTTGTTTAAACGACCAAGACCTGTGGACTGGAGTGATGTGTGTGAAGCACTTCGTAACTGCAAAGAGAAGGCACGACATCAAATACCTTTTGGATTAGATTGGAATAGAATTGAAAAGCTGGAAGCCAGTTGAAACCATTCTCTTTAAAGCGGGACTGCACAACTTGTAGCTACTGGTGCCCTCTATACAGCAAACAACTCCTAAGCGGTACCTGCTGGTCCGCTATGGTCCCCTTTTTCTTATGTTAATTGAGAGCTGAATTGATAAGATAACCACCTGCCAGTGACCATGCAGGGAGGTCTAATCCCTCCTGGCCAACAAGTGCAGATAGGCTTTAAAATGCTAGAAGCACTTAATTCAAATCTTGGTTACCATCCATCTAATCACAAGGGTCAACATTTCTTCCACATACCTTTCCATCTGGTATCATACGCTCTGATGGCATGTGACACCAAGTCCACCGTCTTGGCTCCGTTGGACTGGCTCATGAACGAGAACTTGGACTCCATGAAGTTGAATTGACCCAACGACCTCTCGGGCACTGCCTCCTCAGACTCATTACCATGGACACCAACGACAGGGTCAGATGCATGCTGGAGGAGGAGTTCAAGGGTCACGTTGACAAGGTTGATATGCATGGAGATGTTGGTGCAGGTCTGCCCGCTGAGGACCGTCTGGGATTCGGGATTGGAAGGGCGGGGCAGTGTTTGGAACTCCTCCAGAGGCTCGCCCAGATTGTGGTCCAGGAACCCACGGATGAGCTGGTACTGGGAGAGGTCCAGGCAGCAGTGGACCGATGAGAGCAGACCATCTATTTCCATGTCTGGAACTACAGGGATATATAAAAGTAGCATAATTACATGTACTAAATATACTTGCTGTATTTTGCATATATTGTATTGTCGTGTTACTACATGTATATGTGCATATTAACATGCATTTACAATGTATCTGTTCATTGTACAGTGTATTCATTCTATGAACTTTTGTCTATGTTACCATACTATGATGTGCATATGTATACTATGATTTGTAATCAGAATTGGAAAACGTATTCGATACTACTTCATATACATTATCTCATGATTTCTTGACTTAGGGTAAAGATTTACAAATTGCGACACTGATAGATATGCATCGGACTACAAGAGAGAGAAAAAAAACGGGATTGCGCTCTGACCTGTCCTTCTGATGTCAATGTCCAGATTACGGTCCACCTGCAGTTTCAGAAGGCATGTCTGCTTCAACAGTTTGCCACCCTACAAAGAAAAGAACCAAACCAAACAGCATTATAATTGGTAATAGGATGACATACAACCAGGTCAAATTACTGGCAATTAATTTCAATAGATTTTCACAAAGATGCACATAATTCTTTAGCTCTGTGAATGAAATCAGAGCACAAACAAGAATATGTATTCTCACAAGTAATCTTTTGTTCCGTTTAATGACGAAAAGAAATTCTAAAAAATCTAACAAAAGAGTAACACCGAGCATTCAAGAGTACACAATCATGTGGCAATTGATTTTAGTACAGTAATTAATGGATATAAGGAAATTGAGTTACGAAAATGAAGTAGTCGCAACCCAAAACAACAAAAATCGGTCTCATTCATGTACACATTGTGCTTTTCAAGAGGTAGGGGTACCTGTTTTTAAACCAAAAATAATGCTAAGAATTATGATAATACACATTGAAAATCAATAAGAAGAGATGAAAACACTTAAAGATAAGATAAGAAGTCTAACCTTTCTTTGGACAATGAAAGACGGAAAGATCAAAGCTGTTCCATCAGACACATCAAAGTCTGTAGGAGACACCCGCTCTGCAGGGTAAAGATCCATGTCTTCAAGATCGATCTGAATACAGTCTAGAAGACAACTCGTATTCTCCTCCTTCTTGCTGGCATCCACTTCCGCTTCACTCGCTTCATCAGCAACTCTTGGAGAATGCTTTGGCGTTGATGAATACTGTGGTCCATGGCTGGACTTAGATATTACTGCAGTTCTTGTGCTGGCTCGTGTCAAGACACCAGGGGCAGTTCCTAGGCCAAGTCCAGGACTGTCTTCTAAATTTAGACCATGAGCTGTGGCCACCTTCCGTGGTGTTTCTCTGGCAGGTTTGGAGGATTCTTCCGAGGGCTTAGGGTCCTCGGGGCGAGGTTTAGGAGGAGTGGTCTTGTGGATGATGGTTCCGGGTGTCCCAGACATCAGGAACTGGTTGCGTAGGGTCAGGGCACCAAGATTGATGACCAGTAGGTCCTTGGACTGGGAGCTGACGGGGGCTAGTATGACAGGAGAGCCAGCCTGGACATCAAGCATGATGCGAGATGTACGAGTTGGTTCAACAGATACCTGAGGTGTCAAAGACATATATGACAAACATTGTAACGTAACCTGATCAACTCGTACAATAACATGAAAAATAATGAAAACTAACTTCTTTTCAGTAACCGTCATTAAAATCAACTCATTAAATATAAAATCCATAGACTACCTGGTGTCTTCCAGCAGCTGTCCTCAATGGTTAAATGACATTTTGAGGCAGGTTGAAGTTCATTATCATCATCATTTCCATCATCGCCATCACAATCATGCATCGCATCACCATGCTTACAATCATTATCATGATATCTTCAGTATTACCAAGGTTATTGTCTTCATTGTAATCATCATCACAACCATCTTTATCATCATCATCACCACTACAATCATCATCATAATCCTCAACATCCATCATCATCATCATCATCATCATCACCCTCACCCACCCCTCCCCTCCCCTTTCCCCCTCCCCTTACCCTCCCCTTCCCCCTTCCCCTCATCCTCTTCATCATCCTCACCTCATGCCCTGCAGCTGCAGCCCTCATAGTGCCAAGGACTTCCTGGAGTTGGTTGAAATGCTGTGCAAAGGCCACAACTTCTGACTGGAAACGGTTCGTGTGAACATAGCGGACCGTTGACATCCTCAGTTTCACCCTCATGTCAAACTCTCTTTGAGACTTCTTTTGAGAATCCTTGCGGGGCTTTCCGTACCTAAAGGCATGAAAAGTAGCATTAGTAAATAAACTATCGTTAAAAAAAATGGCTCGGTAACCATCTCAAAACAATTTCTGTTGCCACACATAGGTGTGCAGTTCCATACACCTATATCTGTTGGCAGTGCTGTCATTATAATTCAGCAAGATTGGGTCAGCTATTGTGTCATTTTAATGATTCAATGTAAATTCAACTAAAAAAATAAATAATGAGAATAGTTTATTTCACAATGCATCACAAATGGCAAGAACTCAAGGTTCATCTTAAAACTTCAACATATTCCTCTGTGACTTACTTGAAAATATGGAAGCTGAGAGCCTCTTCTCCTTTCGTTGTGAACCTCTCCCTGTAGAGCCTTCCGTGTGGGGTCAAGTCCAGCACCGACATGCTTCCCATGTGACCTTTGACCTCTAGGTTGCCCTCCATGTTGGTCATGTGAGCATTGACCTCTGACACGCTGGCCTTGGCGAGCTCGTAGTCAGGTTTGTTGAGGATGAGAGAGAGGGATGCCAGGTGCACCTGCATCTCCATGTTGTTACCTTCTGGTTCACCTACACCTACAGTAGCAGACAATTGAGTGAAAACACAACATTAATTTCTTAATAAAAATATATCTTGCCCTAACCAGCATGAAAAGGTCTTGAAGGATTGTATAGAAAATGATGTAATTCCATGCACTGTAATTTGAATTTCTTTCTTTCTTTTTTTTTACCTTTCAGAGAGGAACTTTCCATCCTTAACCTCTACACAAAATCTGAAGACAAGGGCCAAATTTTTCTAATTTTCACTAAAAACAATTTAGAATCAGCTTTCTCTTAAAGTGCCATTTAGGGACATGAGCCCCGCCTAAGTAACAGCCGCGATCGCATCTACGTATATAAGAGATAGGAGACTATAAAATGTTGATTAATTGGAGAACTTGTGATTGATTCAGATCGATAGCAACTCTTTATAAGACGAGGCCCAGAACTAAAGACTACATGTAGCTTTATGATGTACTAATATATTCCATCGGCCAGCAACTACTCACTTGTTACTTGAGTTGGCAGTGGTTGTACGTCAGATGTCTGTCTCTGCGGAGCACTGGTTCTGGTTGGAGTGTCCTGTTGGACGTTGTCCTTAGGTAGTGAGCTACCTATACCCAGGAAGTCCAGGAGAACCACCCAAGTCTGCTGGTTGATGGTGATGTCCAGCTGGTTGAACTCAACATCAACAAACTGGTTGGTCTGCACAAGTAAGGAAATTAATGGTGATCAAATTGATTGATTGATTGATAATGGTTTTATTGAAAATAAAAGAACAACAAACAACATCGGGTCAAATAATCACCTAACACATGTTAAAGGGGGACCAAACAGAACAGAGATATTCTGCTCTGTACAATTTAAAAAAAATATATTTGAACAATAGCATCACCAAATATTTAATGAAATGTGCTGAAACAGCAGACTCTCACTGAATGCTTTCGTAGACCAATCAAGTGGTTCACTGCATCTCACAATGACTAAATAATTGCAAAGCATGCAGTACAAAGGGACAAACTAATACACAACACAAAATAAAAGCAAAATATGAAATTAGGTCACATCATACACCCATGTTCAAAACATCAGTTCCAAATATCAATTTAGGTAGCAATACTACAAGTTTGAATACACTCTACATGTCAGAAGCCTTATAAAATTTGACACACTTGTACGCACACATATGCACAGGTAAGCTGAATCGAAGTTAGCTTCAGTTTAGGCCTTGTTTTGAAATAAATTTGTCACTTATCCTCTATAACCATTAACCATTAACCTCTCTAATCCTTAACCATTCAAATTCCTCACCTTCTTGTACTTGGTAGCGTACTCTGGACTCTTCTTGTCTACCAGGAGAACTCTGATCTGTACCAGGGCATCACTGGTAGGGACTGTATCTGTTGATACGTTTATGTCCTCCAAGGAGATGTTCAGAGAAGGAGGTGGTGTGGAAGGGTACATACCCCGGCTGCTACTGCTTGTTTGTCTACTGTACTGAGGAGCATAATACTGATCAGGGTTGTTTAGTTCCGAAGGCACTGAGCTGGGTCTGATGGGCGACATCGCCGGCATGGCCGTCACTGATGGACACGATGTGGAGTGGACCATCTTGGATGACGGGCCACTGCCAGAGCGTCTGGTGCCACCATGAGATGCTACGAGTTGGCGATGCTTGGAGTCGGGGCTTTGAAGGAGGTCCTCAATCACCAGAGACTGCAGAAGGATGGTGACCGACGTCGCGGCTGGAGTAGACTTCTCGTAATCGATGCTGAAGTCTGAGAAGCACACATTGACGATGCCTTGATCGCCATCACTGAGGTCACCCCGCATTTGAATACAGAGGTCTGGCATGGCAAAGTTCGCACATATCCTCATCGGGAGCTTACTTCCAGCAGGTCGGATGGGTGTACTTTCTGTGGTTCTACGATACCCAGGTGTCTTTGATTGTGTCCCCAACGGCTCTAGTTCCTTGACATTGAAGATCCCTGACTTTCTGCCTTTAGTTTTCTCTAGGTTAACAGGAGTGGAGGGTACCTTTGTTGGTTCATCATATGTCAGGTTATCCAGGGTTTGCAGGATCTGTTCATAGATATGCTTGGACAGAATGACCTTCAGGTGGGTGACCACCTTACCTACAACTTGCAAGGTGGAGGAGTGGTGGTCAAGGTCGAGAGGTTCTTTCTCCTCAAGGTCAGGGAATGCCATGCTGTTATCCATGACCGGTGGACCAGATTCCGATGGGATCTGATTCACGATGACCTCCAGAGAAGTGTTGTGAAGGATAGGTGTCCCTGAATAAGGTCCGGAGGCAGCGCTCATGATGTCCGAACTGATGCTGGTTACGCTCTGCTCCGATGGCACGTTTGTGTCTTCGTGGTTGAAGGAGAAGAGGTTCACGTTCTGAATCCTCAAGAAGAGGCGGGTCATATCCGGATTTGGGTCGAGTCCCAAGGTGCTCTCGATGTCCATGTCCCGACTGATGTCCGAAGACTCGCTGTTGGTCAAGCTGATCTTTCCTAGATGGGCGACCAAGAGCTCTGAGCTGGATGCTGTCCTTGGGATGATGATTACAGGCGTCTCCATGACGATATCGAAGTTCATACTGGTGTGTGACTTAGCACCGATACGTGAGTCAGTCATGTCCATGGATGAATCTCCAAAGGTGTTTCCTCTTTTCCCAGGAGACTCCATCATGGTGTTGAACATACTTGGGGAGAAGGACGTGACAAGGTCAGGCATCTGCGACTGTATTAATTCCCTGGCTGCATCGCCGGCTGCCTTCTGAATGGAGTTTGCAAGGTTGGCGATTGAGCTCTGAAACTCGTCCATGCAGAGGGTGACTTCATGGAGAAACCGAGGGACATGGATGTAGCAGAGGGATGCAAGATGAAGCGACAGGTTCAACTGCTCATCAATATCCTCTCCACCAACTTGTATCTTGATAGGTGATCCCAGAGACATAGCTGTTGCGTTCTCAACGTCTCTTCCTTTCTTGAAAGTAAAGGAGAAGGCTCTCAGCACTTCCTTGCCTTTCTTGTCTTCCTTGACTTCCTTGTCTTCCGTGTCTTTGATCGTGCTAAATCTCGAGGTATCCAGGGCAGATTTGTACAGGTCCGTCTGGTCACTTTGTTTCATTACTGAATCCCTTTCAAGAGAAGTCTTCTGGCCTGTTGTTGTTGGGTCTTGTCCGACACTGAAGACCTTTTGGTGTCTGCTGCCCTCTGGCGTTAAGTCTAAGAGCTGGAGACCACCAAGAAACCCTCCCACACTCATCTCCCCACCTGGTATCAGAATACAAAGAGAACATGTTCAAAATTAGCTCTATTGATACAAGTCATTCTTAAGTATATTGATCACAGGTACAAATTTTTCATACATACACAGGGTACTCAGGATAAGTATAGTCTGTACAACTTTACAAGCTTACTCAAATTGCAGTGTTTAGATTGTACATGATTACATTTTAAAATGTGTTTTAAACGAAATTACGATGTATGTAATTATGAATTTTGAAGCCAAAATTAGTACATCCATTCTAAAGGGAGTTTTTTATTCATTGTCTTTATTGGTACAAATTATAAACAGGATGTGAAACAGATGAAGACAAAAGGCTACTGTAATTTCTTTAAATTTCATTTACATGGAGCAATATTTTTTGGTCTTTCTAAATCCTTAGCCCGATTCTTTGTATTGCTAAAATTAGACCCCCCAAAAAGACTTTGTGTGATTAATTCACATATTCCAGGTAGACCATATATATTTACCTAGAGTTGCATGTACGTGAGCCTCACTCACAGTGGCTGTAGCAACTTTCTGACCTCTGACCTTGGTTCCCATGATGCCCCTGACCATGACTATGTTAAGGCAGCGGAAGTCTGCTGAGATCTCTGTACGGGTTGGTGTCTGGCTGTTGGAAGGCTGGATAGGTAGAAAAGGATAAGAAGGGTAAAGGTTTGTTAACGTGACCCTGCAAACCAGTGTTTGTTTTTTTTGTTTTTTTTAATGACGTACAAGCGTTCTATGTTTCATATTTCTGTATCTTACTGTATAACACACAAAGAGTGAGTATGCCATTAAAGGACCTTTGATGTGCGCAGCTACCTTTTTCGATCCCCATTTGCCATTCTTTTAGATTTAAAAAAAAATCTGGGTAAACTACGTCGTGTGTTTTGAGCTATAAGTTTTCATCTCAAATGCTAAAGAGATGTGTACTTGGACAGCTTTCTCACTAGGACTAGGACACCTAGCCTTCTAGGATGACTACAGGACTTACTTATATCTATTCAGGAACAATATATACAAATTAAATACTCATTTGTTATACTCGCAAACAAGAGGTTCATTTTCTTTCCTTTTCATACATTTAGGAGAAGTTTGAGCCTCTGAATTTCATGAAAAGTTAATTTCTTCTTTTGGATAATTTTAGATAATTTTCTGAATGGTTTAGCCTCAAAGGCTCCTGACCAGATACAGACTAATTTAGAACTGCATGACTATGGATTTACAAACAAACTATACATGCAATCATGAGAGAAAAGTAAAGAACCGTAGATATACATGAACATATTGTAATATGATAATTAAGTGTTTTTGTATAGTACATAACACATAGACATAATAGCATGTCTCTATGCACTTTACAGAACAGAATACAGAAGGAGTTGAAATGGTGTACTTGGTTCATAATCATGAGATCTAAAGACGTAAGTAGATATGTTTTCAAATTACTTCTGAACTTTTCATATGTTTCTATATTTGTACAGCAGTCCAGCAAGTTATTTGATAAATCTGATGCAGATGAAAATGACCCTTCCCCATTAGATTTTGTCACAGGGGGACACAAAATAAAGACTTTTTACTGGAACGTAGCATTATTTCTTGTTTATAATGTATTAACAATAATAATTATATGTTCTTATACTGTATAAGGCTCCACGCGCTCTACAATAATGAGGCATAATAACCCTGGCTTTAGCAGAGCAGCTGTCACCCACTCTGCGTTTCAAGGAATAAATTCCTATCAGGTTCCCATATACTTGCGAGTGCAGCACAACGTGGATGAATTTCTTGCTGAAGGGAATTAACGTCCTAGAATGGGACTCAAACTCACGACCTTATGGTTGAAAGACGAGAGTCAGAATCACTACACCATGACGCTTCCACACAATTCAATGAGACATCATGAGTACAACGGTAGAAAGACTGTACCTCTATGATACTTGCTTCCCGTAAGAGTGAGTTGGTGAAGCTGGATGGATCTTCAGGGGACTGCTTGGGTTTGTTCTCGTCTTCTGGGAAGGCTTGCTGGAAGAAGGACAGGAGCTCTACTATAGTCTCTTGATTAGCTGGTCAGAAAGAAAACAAAGTTTGAGATAATAATAATATTTAATTTTTATATAGCGCTTAATACAAATGTCTCTAAGCGCTTTACAAATATACTATTATTCCCATCTAAGCTAAGCTGTCACCGTGTCCCTAAGGACGTTGGCTCCACAAACATATTCAAAACATTTTTTCCTATCTTGAGCAATTCTATATGCCTTCTGGAAAGTGTTGTCTACTAGGATGTCACTTTCCCATCATGACTTTTAAAAAAGCAAAACTTTCTTATTGCTCATCTCAGTTCTGTTAAAATTCACAAATCTACAAGCATTTTTCTGCTTTCATTTGCTGTTACTGTTTGATTGACTTTCTAATTATATATAAAATTTAATGGGACCCATGAATAAGGGTATGTCAATACTGAAATAGAAATACACTGTATACCTGAACATCATTTTTGCGGTGTTATACTTTATTACAAGGCATTGTTTTTTAAAAGCTCAAGTACTGTCTTACCTATGACATCCAAGCTATTGACCTGAATGACAGCGACTTGCACGGGACCCTCATTGTTGGTGTTTGATGGACGGTCGGCATTGATGAGCTGTAGTTCCACATGGATGAGCGCTTCCTTATCATTAACCACAGGGTCAAAGGGCGAGAGAGCAGGCGGGGCAAGGGATGACGCGCCTGATTGGTTACCTGCATGTACAGAATATCAAAGCATAGCACAATTAAATCAAGTGTGGAGTTCCACAGGGTTACCTTTTGGGTCCATTACTACTTTTTAACTACCTTTTTTTCCTGGGGGGGGGGCTTTACATTTGTGATTAAAAAAAGCAGTGATATGCTCTATCTTTATGGTGATGAGAGGTTCACAATCCTCAATATTTTGCAATGATATAGATAAATAATAATAATTAATTAATAATACATACAAATAGTTATGTTTGATTTTTAATGCAAAAGAGAAAATTGTGTAATTGTTGTGATATACACATTAAACAAAATACAAATAGGTTTTAAACTTGTTATTTAATAATGATTTTATATAATCTTTATCTCTAAAGTTGTAGTAGATGTGTAGTTACATATACAAATCAATATATTTTAATCTACTCACCCCCTTTGCTATTGGCCCCCATCTGTCTAATGGCAGATGCCAGTTCAGCATGTGAGGTTGGTTCCATCATCTTCTCTGCGGGGGAGGCAGGTGATCTAGGCGAGGTGGGTGATCGGAGGGACCTAGGAGTGGAGGCTTCGCTGTCCACGATGCTTCCACTAGGGGCATGCATGCTGTAGTGACATCACAGAGAGAGAGAGAGATGGTGTAAGTTGTTTCAAAATTTTGTGTGAGGTAGTACAGTGTACTTGGAAGATTTAAAGGATGCAAGATATTAATCAGAAGTTTTCTTCACAAGCTTGTTACAGTACATCTCAACTTCAGTCCCATACATGTACATTCAAATTCTGTTTTATCCATATATATATATATATATATATATATATATCACTGTAAATTGAAAATCATTGGACGATTATCAGGGTTGGTTATAACCCGGTTAAAGCCCCACTGCACTAGTTTGGCCAGGAGGGAATAGATCTCCCTGCATGGTCACTGACAGGTGGTTATCTCATCAAATAAGCTCTCAATTAACATAAGAAAAAGGGAAGCATGGGGGACCAATGGTCACCGATTAGGCATTGTTTTCTATAAAGAGGGCGCAAGTAGCTACAAATAGTGCAGTCCTGCTTTAACAAGCTTGTTACATCTCAGCTTCAGTCCCATACATTAAAATCTTTCTGTTTTACCCAGTTATATATCACTGTAAATGAAAATTATTTGACGATTCTCACAATTAGTTATATTTAAATATTACTATGCAGCACTAATACATGTAGCCACACAGGGATGCATGTAGGAATAATTTACATATATGTACAGACTGGAAGAAAGAAGGAATGAAGGAGGAGTATTTTACCTGAGGTCCTTATGTGAGGCAAGAAGAAGTTCAAAGTCTGGTCCAAATTGCTGAAGAGCATCAATAACAAGTAGACTGTGAACACTCAGAGAGATGGAGGAATCAAAGGGACGCTTGACCAGGTCTGTCCGCACTCGAGATATCTGGAACTCAGATATACAACGTCCTAATATGGGGATAGAGAGAGAGAGGGGGGGGGGTGATTATCATAATATCTTACAAGAGACATAAGACTTACAAAATGTTCATAACAGTATACATGTTTATGTACAAAAAGTTGAATAATGTTCACTTCTACTAAAAGGTCATTATGGAGACCACCGTTAATATCATCACTTGTTGGTTGGCTGCTCTACACACCCGTTATTGTTCTTCTTTTGTATATAGACAATGTAACAAATGAATTATGAAAAAGGAACCTTATTCACAAGCATAATGCTTCTAAGGTATCCTCCTCATTACTGTAGATTAACATAGCATCCTTTGTATTTAATGACATGCATTAAATCGTTTTTATTGTTTTAATACCATCTATCTATCAAATATATTTATATGTTTTGTTACTTTGTATGTGCGTTACTTTGTAAATTCTTTTCCTAAGCAGTTAATATGGAAATATAACCTTTAAAAAACAATTACAAAAAAGTGCTTGAGGAGAAATGAGACAAAAGTACGCTTTCAGAAGAAAAGTGTCACCATTTACTGACCTCACAGCTAGTGCATGCAATCTGTTTCATTCAACACAGGATAATAAAAATGTTCCGTGTAGCTACACAGGTAGCCTATATTTTTTTGTAAATGAATAAGCCTGACTGGAATGATTACCTCTGCTATGGATGGCTAGGGACATTTTGTCGACAGAGAACTGCATCTCCAGGAGCTTGGATTCCTCAAGTAAGGCTTGGGATTTCTGTTGTATGGTGGCCTCAAAATCTGATTGACTGTGGAAAATAATGTTTCAAAGGTTAAAGGGACATCCAACCTTCATAACAAACTAAATCAAATCTAATGCAGAAAAATCAGAGAAGTACACTAATGAAGGTTTGAATGTAATGAAACAAAAAGGTGAAGAAATTTATGAAACAATTTTCCCATTTGTTCCAACGCATGAATTGACTAAAATGTCAGTTTTCCAAAATGTTTTACTCTCGAGGATATTTTATTTCTAGAGGACCTATAATAATATGCTATCCATCATTTTGAGTAGTGCCCCAAGGTGGAGAAGTCACTTTGGAGAAAACAAAAATTAATTATATTTTTGTACAAAATGAATGGGAGAGTTGACGATGAATACATTACAATCCACTGGCAAAATTGTAAATTCAATATTTGCCTAGCTTTAGTGATCTCATATGTTGACAGCAAGAAAGATCTTCGATTTCGATGGAAAAAAAAGTTACATTCAACAAAAAATTCATTGAAAGAATTAGAGTACGTAGACGAATTACAAGTAATTGCAAACGTAATTATGACTCTTATGAAATGGCATTGCTGTACGAGAAAAAAAGTGATAATTCTCACCTTGTATAATGTGTTCTACCCTGAGGTCCTGGATACTCGGTGTCGGAAGGAGGGGAATACCCTGCAGGGGAAACCCCTGATTGGTTGTTGGATCCAGACATGAGCTTCAAGCATTTATTCAGCGCTTGAATCTAAAACAGGCAACAAAATAATTAAAAATAGATATAACAAACATTCTCGTGATAGGAGTGAAAGCGAATATATAGGGATCATTTTTATATTAAGACGGAACAAAAATAGACAATCACATTTTCCCCTCATAACCCACTAAACATTAGTAATGTCTGTCTTCAACATCTATTTCTATGTGTATGCACAATGCACTCAAAACAAGATACATGTATTTTTTTATTTAATGTTATGTTTCCTTGGAGAAGTTTCAATTGTTGTAAAGAAATTTATGGCTTGCACCCATTTGTTTTTGAAAATAAGTCCGGAAAAATCAAGGAATCTGGGGGATATACAGTACATAAATATCATATTTTAAACAGTTCTTTGATAAAATCAAAAGAAAACAGAAAAAGTTAAACTTTTTCAAGATGACGAGGTTATAACTTACCTTCTTCTCATTGATATGAATAGATAGACTTGGTAGATTCCCAGACATCAACATGCTCGGCCACTGAGGATCCTGCGTGAAGGTTAGACGGCGCTCAACTTTCACAGAGATGGAGAACTTATCTAGGACCTGGAAGGGACAAAGCCCTCTGGAGTGGGCTGTGCGCCAGTTCTCGGAGCCTTTGGCAACAAGGATCTGCAGATCTGACATGTCCAGTGTGTATCTGTTGGAAGGAAAAGGGATAGTTGATTGTTTGCTCATGTCGCAAATTTCAATATACTCTTCAGGTGTCGAGACTTCACCTGAAAATCTATTGAAAGGATTATCAGATGCAACAAATTAGGCTACACTGTGTATTTCAAATTCAGAAATATTGAATCTTAAATTGGAATATATTTCAGGAGAAGTGCAATATGCCTAAAGGACCAACAGAGGGAGGGTCCATGAGTCCAAGGGGAAATCCCCATGCTCAGGTGAAGGAGGAGTAAGAGGAGGAGGATGGTAATGATGACTATGACTACAGCATTGAAAATGACAAATGATTTTAATGATAGTAATGACGATTGAGATGATTAAAATATCAAACATTGATGAAGATAATAATTATGAAGATGGAAATAGAGATGATGTTGATGAAGATAGTGATAATGAAAGTTATGACCAATATTGTAACAATATTGATGTTGATGAAAATAATCATGATGATGATGAAGGTGATGATGATATTGATGTTAGAAATGATAATGATAGTGATGTTAATGATGTTGATAATGGTGATGATGATGATGATGATGATGATGATGATGATGTTAAAAATGATAATAGTGATGTTGATGTTGATGATGATGATGATGTTGATGATGATGATGATGATGATGATGATGGTGGTGATGATGACACTGATGAAGAAGATGATGTTGATGTGATCAATGATGATCATGATGATTAATATATAATGATGCTTCTAATTGTAATGGTAATTAAGATGATAATAAAAAGAAATTCTTCAGATCGCATCTTACCTGTCGTACATCCTATCCCTGAGAGCCTCGGCAGTGATGGCACTGTTATCAAAATCAGCTACATCAATCCCAGAGCTCGTTGTCATGGAATCTATTTTGGCATCGGTCGGCACAAAGTCCAATGCTTCGTGGGGTGGAGTCGACAGAGGAGTGAGGAAGTCATCATCTAAATCATCTTGAGAGATTTAAATGTTTTTTTTTATTTAGCTGGCAATTTAAGTTGAACTGAAAATGTTCATCAATGCATGGCTCATCCACATGACCTCTTCGACATTGCAAAGAAAATAACCAAAATACAATGCATTTTAAAGTCCCTCTGCACTATTTTGGCATGGAGGGATTAGACCTCCCTGCAAGGTCACTGGCAGGTGGTTATCTCATCAAATCAGCTCTCAATTAATATAAGAAAAAGGGCATCATGGGGGATCAACAGGCACCGATTAGACATTGTTTGCTATGTAGAGGGCGCAAGTAGCTATAAGTAGTGCAGTGGGGCTCAATAAGATTTCTTCCTGTAGGTGAAGAGTCAGATATTGTACTAAAAAAAGAAAAAAAAATCACTTTCAAAAGTAAATCATCTGAGTCATCTGTACGTAAGCCACCTGCATGTAAAAGGGGAAGGCCTTTAAAGCCCCTCTGCACTAGTTGGCCAGGAGGGATTAGACCTCCCTGCATTGTCACTGACAGGTGGTTTTCTCATCTAATCAGCTCTCAATTAACATAAGAAAAAGGGGATCATTGGGGATGAACAGGCAACGATTAGACATTGTTTGCTATATAGAGGGGCAAGTAGCTATAAGTAGTGCAGTGGGGCTTAATAAGATTTCTTCCTGTAGGTGAAGAGTCAGATATTGTACTAACAAAAAGAAAAAAAAATCACTTTCAAAAGTAAATCATCTGAGTCATCTGTACGTAAGCCACCTGTATGTAAAAGGGGAAGGCCTTTAAAGCCCCTCTGCACTAGTTGGCCAGGAGGGATTAGACCTCCCTGAATTGTCACTGACAGGTGGTTTTCTCATCTAATCAGCTCTCAATTAACATAAAAAAAGGGGATCATTGGGGATGAACAGGCAACGATTAGACACTGTTTGCTATATAGAGGGGCAAGTAGCTATAAGTAGTGCGGTGGAACTTTAAAGATGGTGTGTTTCTCACCTTCATCTCCTGGCGATGACAGCTCTGCTTCATTCTCGCTCTTCTTAGAGCGACGTCCCTTGGCTGTCATGCTGAACAGCTGTAGTCTACCCAAGTCAAGAACAACCTAGCAAATACAACACACATACAAAGCCTATTAGAAAAACAACCTGAATGCAGCAATTAAAAACAAGCAAATTGTATTTGAATTTAGGAAATACAAATATCGTCTGCTGAAAGCCGGAAGGGCGTTAACTCATACTTTTAGACAGAGTTAACTCTCTTCTGAATATCAATAGACGAGCTGAAAATTGGTCTGACATAACTTTGATGTACGGTGTACAAGTAGGTGATCATAACTCCTGCAATAACCTGTAATGTTGACTACACTATTTATATGACTATTAAAATCCCAACATGAAGATTTCAAGGGGTTCCAAGCATCTTGTTAAAAAACCTAATTGACTTTCCCCTGAAGATGTTTCAAAAGTGAATGATCAGTTTTTAGCCAAAGCCATCTGGCTAAAGAGAGAGAAAAAAAAGCACACATGTAATACTAATTTTTTTTTTTAATCATAATTTCCAATCAAGTGGATATGCTCTTTGGACAACATTTTGTCCACTTTGGGGTCAACGAAATTCCTTAATATTTCCTTGATTTCAAGGAATATTCTCTGAATCTTCCCTGACCGGATAATAAGGAAACTCCTATTTCCAGTCTTCCCTAATTTTATGAATAGCTAGGAATTCCAATTTACATGTATAGATTTTCACATCCAAATAATATTACAATTTCTGCACATAATTTGATTGGACTCAGATTGCAGTCAAACCGTAGATTATGCAGATGGCGTGCGTCTTAAAGGCATCGTTTAACGATTTTAAATAAGAGATGCATGGCGCTAGTGTGATCAGTGTCTGTGATATGGTGTAATATTGAAGCCCTAAAAAAATTGTGCTTCAAAATGATCATGAAGTGCCTCAAAAAAGTAAAAATCTTTGAGTGACTGGTTTTACCATACTCATTTTCCCCAATAGACTACAGTGTTATAAAAACCGTTAGGAAAATGCAAAATTTGATTCAATTTCCAAGCATAGATATCTTGATAATCAGACAGGCGATCGGCTTGTAGAAGTCATGGGATTCCTGACTGACCTGAGGGTTTATAATTATGATTGCAGCATGAGCTAAATCCAAGATTTTGTTTCAGAATCTGAGGCAATGTTACCGAGTCACTTCAACTACTCACCAGTGTGGCATCCTTGTTGAGGAAGTTGTCTGGGATGATGATGAGAGGGGCTGAGATGTCAAAGTGAATATCCCATCTCTTTACTTCAGAAGTCTATAATTAAAGAAAAATATGAAAAAAATTGTAAGGAGAAATCATAATCCCCTTAAATACAGTGTATAGACATTTACATGTACACGTTTACAGGGGATGTAGCATGACGAGACTACGTGTCCTTCCCGTGGCCCGACTCAGGGCCAATCGGGTATAATACGACTATGGAGGATGCGACCGCAGCAATCACGTGCGTGCAACATATGCGAAACCGAAGCGTGAGGAGAACCCTAGCATGAGCTGACAGGTAATCAAGTATTTGCCATACTACACCCCCTTTAACATATTTCCAAGCTGACAATCATTGTAGGAGGATGACTTTATTTAAGCAAGAGGGTTGTGTCATTCTGTCATAAAAAGCTGAACCCAAACTGCAATAAAATAAGATTGACCACACATCATAGTAAATTTCAAACAAAACCTACATATCTGTAGTAAGGTAAATATATTGTACTTTAGTTATAATTTAGCTGTCCTTCCACCTCCCCCCCCCCCCCAATCTCTCTCTCTCTCTCTCACTCTCTCTCTATCTGTTTTGCTCTCACTCTCTCTCTCTCTTTCTCATCTTGATTTTCTTTTTCTTATATTACTGGTAAAGCTCAAGTCTGCAGAAGAATAGTCATTTGAAAAATGTCCTTTGAGAATAAAATGAACAAGCAAACAAACCTGCTTCTCTCCTTCTAGCAGTGAGTCCACGGTCGAGGCGAGTTCTTGTTTGGTCTGAATCTTCAGCTCCTCGTACCTCATTCGAGCAGCCTTAGTCAGCTGGAGCTCAGAGGCTCTTGAACCGAGACCCTTGCTGCCTCTGCCTTCGGCCTTGAAGAAGTTGGAGACTCTGTCCATTGCTGTTGGGTTGTAGACAATGTCAAGGGGTCTGCTGATGATTTCAAGCCTGGAAGAAAATTGGAATAATGACAATGGTAGTTTCAGAGGACTTTGAACACCATTAAAGGCATCATTTTAAGTATGACATTATTCAACAAAACTCTTGAAATACAACTGGATCACCCTACAAGTATGTCGCTTGAGAAATATAATTGGTACTCAGTATTTTTTTTTCATTTTGATTACCTAACAAGCAGCATACTTTAAAAATACATTTTGCACTTACAATGGTTCCAAGAGATAAAATATAATCCGCTCTAATTCCACTTTTATTTGATCTTTCACATAAAATGGGATGTGCGCTAGTGTTAAAGCTGCGTGCATCACGTGTATAACTCTAATGGGCATGCAAAAAGTAATAGCTCGAGATAAAATGACTGATAAAATCTGAGATAAAAAGTGGTCTCAGAATACTGATTACTTTATAAAGATAATATAAAATCTATCAGAGATAAAATCGTGCTCAGAATACAACCGAAGGACAGAAAAAGCAGAATCCAGGATTAGGCCTGATTACTTACAACAATTGATAACAAAATATCCCCTGCATGAAACCTTCACTCTCAGTCAAAATCCTTGTTAATTCCTCCCTCAATATCAACAAATATCTATGGTGCGAGATCCTTTCAATTGGCAGCGGCAGAGTTATGGAATAAATTACCTAGTCATCTTAAGCAGGTTGATACAGTAGAAAATTTTAGAGTATCTTAAAGACACATTTTTTCGTTTGTTAAATTAGTACACTGTCATGACAAAGCAGTTATTCTTTCTCTTCTCTTCCCTAATGTCTGCTATTATCCCTTCTTTTCTTTTTTCTGAGTGCATAGGGACTTAAATTTATTTTTGTGATATCGTAATTAACGTTGACTCACCACTCGGAAACTAGAACAACACTCAAATTTGTCTGTCATCTTGGTTTGAAAGTAATTTTTCTGATAGATCTCAAAATGTAGTTTATAATAATAATTGCTCCAATTTTTCTTCTATTACACATGGCGTACCACAAGGTTCTATCCTAGGTCCTCTACTGTTTTTTAATTTACATTAATGATCTTACACATTCAACTGCACCTCGCAGTTAAATGAAAGGCCTCTTTTTTTTAGGGCGAAAAAGAGGGGTGCGGTTTAATACACGAGGGCGGTTTTATACAACGTTAATTACGGTATGCGCTATATAAGAATGGTTTATTATTATTTTTATTAATCCAGTCTTTCACCTAGAATCAGCATTTGAATGAGGTGGATTTGATTCATAGGACATCTCAAAGAGAGGGAGGTCTGATGAAGGCTGCTTGATGTTCGTACTGGAGGAACTGGGCGACATGTATGAGAAGCTGGCAGATGCGGAGCGCGAGAGGAGCAGAGAGTGGGACTGTCTGGGTCCTAGCGTTTGCTCCTCCTGGTAACAGGAAACAAAATAGAAATAAAATAATTTGAGGGGTCAGTGACACAAAGACATAACTCCATTTTGGCCATTTTGAGAAAAAGTTGTTTATGTGTCCCTGAGTACTTGGGCCTTAAGGAGTTAAGTCTATGTGTCACTAGCCATTGACTTCAATGGGGTGTTTGGTGGAGTTAAGTCTTTGTGTTTCCTGGAAAGCCCAAATTTTTGTGAACATTTTGATAACAAAAACCCATTTTGGCAAAATATGGAGTTATGTCTTTGTGTCACTGAACCCTCGAATTGATAACAGTGTATACATGTACATGTACATACCCTGTTTCTACCCATAAAGGGCACTGGGCACACAAAATGACAAAAGTCTCTCATCTTCATCTGCCCACTACCACAATAATGAGCAGAAACTTGAATTCCTATAGGCCTAGGCATGTATAGAGATAATTATTAGTTACTGATATAAAAACAAAAATGGATAGCAAGTTATGGGAATTTCGTTATGAATGCTAACATTCAATTTACTCATCTTCCTTTGCATCAGAATTTTTAACCATCATTTGATAACATCTGCAAAGAGGGAAAATGGGATTAACTCTGAGGAAACTGATGAGTAATAATATTTCTGGCTCCCTGCAAAAAAAAAACATTGAACTTGTAAAGAGGACCTACCCTCTTTTGCTGTGGAGCTACCAGGTGTGGGAACAGTGAACCCTTTGTCATGACATCATGGATGAACAGCGCCCCCAACTTTGCAGTGAAGAGGAAGGAGCTCGTCCGCAGCCTCCACTCAAAGCTCATCTTGACGCTGGCGAACTCCAGCTCGATGATGGTCTCGTTCTCGTTTCCCCCCGGGTCTCCCGGCGGGCTGGTACCAGGATCCAGATGAGATGAAGGGTGCATTGAGGTGGAAGGGGGTGCCGACTTGGAAGGGGTAATTGGGGTGGAAGGGGTTCTGGTGATGGGCGTGGTACCGCCAAGGTCACTGTTGGTACAGAGCTTGATGGAGCCACCCTGGAGCTTGAAGTTGAGGAGCGCAAAGACATGATCCCGTCGAAGGAGGTTGTTGTCTGCTGATGGGTCCCCAAGCACGTCTAATAATTCTTGCTCCTCTGTGTTTGTTCAAGGTACATGTATAGACATGGAATGGAATATTTGATTAAACTTATCAAAACAATCATAAAAGAGTTTTTAAATGAATTATCATTTCTCGTGAGAACTGAGTTACACTAGTATAAGCATGTACACAAAATGGCTGGGGGCTGTGTCTGCATATTCTGTCGTTTACAAAGAACATGAACATTTGATTTTTTTTTTTAAATGTACTTGACATGAACTTTGCTCTTCAGCTTGTAAACCTGAATTTTCATTATAATCTGCTGAATTTGTATTTACCTCTTTGTATCTGTTATAAAAATGTCATAAAGAATGTAGTTTTCTCTTCAATTTGTCTAAGAAAATTAAACATTCAAGTATAACATTTTCCTCAAAACATGAGTTTTATATTCATACAATTTTCACAAGATAAGATTTTATATTTAATGACTCAACATGAACAATGGCCTGTTGAACATGCAACGTCTATTAAGTCGTAATATCGACAGGATTATTGTGCGTTTAAAAAAATATATCCATAACCAAACAAGAAAGAGGTTAGGAAGGAGAAACCCCACTTCTTATTTTCATCTCCTTTTTTATTATTTCTTAGGTTCAAATAAAGAATATATTTATAAATATTTATTCTTGAGAACCTATAAAAGACAAGTTATGCTATCCAGTAGGTTCTTGTTTCATTTCATAATGTTGTATTTACTTTGTCAACTATGTTCTGTATTGTGCAAACAATTGATATAAAGTGAAATAAATTCAAATCAATCAGTCAATCAATCAATAAAGAACATTTGTTTCTCTCACCTTCAACATCAATGAGTGGCGGTGGTGAGGGGGAGCGTCTGCTACCGGCCCCAGAGGGCGTGTCATCCACGCTGCTCTCTGTGCCGCCCTCAGCACCCCCCTTCTGTGAGTACCAGCCGCTCCAACCCCACACCCATCGCTGCATGATGCCCCCCTGCTGGGCCTCCTCAGGCTTCTTAAAGATCTCCTGTAATAACAATTATATTCATATGTAAAGCGCAATCACTATGTGGATATATTCTACTGCGCTGCAAGAGTTTGTAAATGCTGTGCTATACATGCTACATGAACAAGTGAGTTTTCAGTCTTGATTAAAAATTTTCTAGTGATGGGGCTTTCCTTACTTCTAGCGGTAATCTATTCCATATTCTAGGGGCAGCACAAAGAAATGATCGGTCTCTGAGGATTACTTTGGTTTTATATGGGGGGGGGGGGGGGGTATTTGCAACATAAATGTGTCTTGTGTAACCAAGGAAATAGAATACCATCAAATATCACGGCAGAGAAATCGATAGAATACAATAGAAATAGAGGGTTATAGAAAGAAATAGACAGAATAACTACTGTACCATATAGTAAAAACAATAAAATGGAAATAAAGTAATGGACTAATTTACCTCTCCACCTCGTATTCTCTTCTCCAGCTGGCTAAAGACCACGTTTCTTAGAATCCTGATCTCTTCAAATGACAGATCCTTCTCAAACTGTTTCATCACACTCTGTAATCAATAAAAAAAGAAGTTTTGATAACTACATGTAGTACAGGTATCAAATTCTTCCTTCTGTGATAATGGTAGAGAAATATGAACAAACGCATGACATACATATATACACATAATTGTTTTGCAATATTAAGACAACCAGGATCATCCAATGAGCAGTTGTACATGTATATCATGCCAACAAGATCATACCCAATGTTTACCAAATGGACCACGGTGACGATAAAATTCTATTCATTTACAAGTATGTTGATTACTGATGTACTATTTGTAATATGGTTAAAACAAAAAGGTTGCATTATAACAGTTGATTATTGATTCCTAAATTTCCTACTGTATAAACATATACCGGTAGATTACCTATGTTGATTCATGATGTTATGTTTTCATAGTTTCTGGAAAAAGACTGAATATTACTTTCTGACCAATTTACGTATTCAATAAAAAAAAAACTTTACCAGTCATCCATATTCCATACTCATATTGGACTATTATACTTAGGATCATGCATCACATACTAATATGAAATCAATCACCCTTCATGTGAAAAATGCCTACCAAGCATCAAAGCATACCTACCAAACCTTTAAAGCAAAAAATAGGAATCCCTCAATGCAAATTAAGGAATATACTCATTTGTATACTTTTTACACAGCAGTTTTCAGAAAATCAAGGAATGTTGGATTCATAAAATAAGTTTGAGGGCTAGAAACTAGGAATAATTCCTCCGAAATATTTATATCAGATGCCATACTCGAGAACTGAATCACATCAGCAAGAAGAAGAAGAAGGAGGAGGAGGAGGAGGAGACGACGACGACGAAGACGAAGACGAAGAAGAAGAAGAAGAAGGAGAAGATGATGATAATGAAGAATGGTTGGCAGCTATGAAGCAAATGTGACAAATGAAAAGAGAGGATCATACCATGAGTGATGCAGGGTCTATATCCTTCGCCTCCAGGAATCTAGTATAGACTGTGGTGTACTGTTTGTTGAGACCGATCCGTTCTGAGATGAACTTGGGTGTTCTCCTGCGTCTGCGGTCCTTGATGCCATGTAGAACACTGTTGATGGCAAACTGCCACCACTTTCTGATACTGGAGCGAAAAGAAGAGAGAAAGGGTGTCTCATTATTTAATTTTAAAAAAAATTAAATGTTAAAAAAAAAAATTGAGTGAATAAAAAAATATGTATTAAAGTATTCATAACTGAGAAATATCAGCCCAAAAAGGGGGAGAAAAAAAATTCTGACTGACCGACCAATGTTTTGGCACCAAAAGGGCAAAACAGCATCTTTTTTTTATAGGCCATATAAAAAGTTTGAAAATCACAAAGGAAAACGATGTATCTAAAGGAGGGGGGGGGGGGCCTACAAACCTTTCCTTGTCGCCAGTCCAGGCTTCCGGCCTCCACTTCCTGTAATGCCTTGCTTTGCCGTTGCGCTCAAATTCCTTCATCAGGACGGTGATACCTCGGTACTGATCCTCGGAGAGAGACAGAGGAATCTTCTGAAGCGTCAGGTCACAGACGTAGCGGGGCGTGGTGCGAGATCGCAGCGGGAGGGCTGAACCATTCCGCTTCAGTCTGGCTTCAGCACTCACCGGTTCCACCATGTAGTCATGGTTCTACACGTACATGAGATACAGTAAATAATCAACATTTAGCAATCATAATGTATATGTACCTCAATTTACATTACAGCAGGCCTACATGTACCATATAGTCATTCCTTCTCCAGGCATTTCAAGGTACACATACCTGCCAACCTTTCACAGCAAATATTAGGATCTCTCAAGGCTAAATTTGGAATACAGTCTGGTTTGTATACTTTTCACATTGAATATTTCAGAAACAGAGAGGAATCTAGGGTTCTAAACAGTAGCTCGAAGGCCCCAAAATAGGAATCATTCCTCCAAAATAGAATTGGTTGGCAGCTATGTGGTACATGTACATTATATAACAAATGCAGTGTCTCATATGGCAGCCTCATATTTTGTAGGAAAAGAGCTGATATAATCCAGTAAGTAACTAATAAACCAACATTGATCTCGACAAGATGCTTTGTTTCTTGTTTTGGAATATGCCAACACTATACACATTACTGTGTAGGACACAAATTCTTAAATAATTCCAAGCTGCGTGGTTGGTTGGTTTGGTTAATTTAGTTGGTTTGGTTGTTTGGTTTGTTTTACCTGACTGCTAAGAGAGTATGCATATGCTTGTAAGTAAGCAACCAGGGGACTGGCTGCTTTAAGTTCTCTCTGAGACACTAGCGTATTGACTTGGTTTCGAACCCGGGACCGGTTACAAGACCGCTGCTCCACATGCAGCCATCATCATACACGCAAGGTTTTTATTAAGTTTGAATTAAGAACCCTTGAAGTACATGTAGGGGCTCCCCCGCCAAGTTTTTGGATAGGAGGTCTGCATTACAATTTAAAGGTTCAAAAGAAATGGGTCTTTACATGTATAATTATTTTGAATTATGAATGGTCCATAGAGGACTTTTGGAGGACCATGCTTTCCTGACCATGTTAAGCCTCATTCACATATGATGCAGCAAAACCCAAAAGGCGTTTTTTTTAATGATGGCGTAAAGTGTGATATCGTTTTACATATCTGTATCTTAAAGATGAAGTTGAGTTCTGGTCATGCGATTGCATTGTGAAAGAAACAGTGTGGAACCGACCAGAAAAGGTTGATCATCTAGCATATAAGAATTTGTGTGTATTGCAAGGTTCTGGAATCATCAAAATGATAAGAAATTTGGCCAAGTCTTGGTAAAGTTACAAACACTTGCACAGAAAGATGTATATGGGACTACACGAACACGTGGCGTAAAAAGCCGGCCCCCCCCCCCCCGATTTTTACGATGTTACATGCATTTTTAGAATATGAAGGCATTTGAAGAGCCATGCTTTTCAGGCTGTTCTTCCACACTTGCATAATAAGAATGAGTAATGCTCACAAATTATTTTTCACCTCTTCCCAGAACTCAACCTTCTCTTTAAAACACAGAACTCGGTGAAAACGCTTAGGACCTTTGGTGCGCGCAGTTGCGATTCATTTGCACATACAAAGCCATGGCGTTTTCTTTGAGAAGGTTTACCGCGTCATATCTGAACGAGCCTTCCGTGTTTAGCCCCGCCTCTAAGGCAAGGAAGCAGTCAAGGCATCCTACTACAGCCAAACCTGTCTATAGCGACCTCCTAAGGGAAACACAAAAAGTGGTCTTTGTAGACAGGTTCCTTTAGCACATGTTTCAATGAGAAACCGTTTTCAAAGGAAATAAAAATTGTGGTCTTTGTAGACAGGTGGTAACTAAAGCAAGGTTGACTGTAATGTTCATCCTACCTTGATCTGGTTTTCAGTTGTACGGCACTTTTCGCTCATCAGAGCATCCTGCGAAAGAAAAAAGATCACAATATTTTAATAACACATTATTAGAGGATACTGAGGAAAAAGAAGGAAAAAGATAAGATCAATGAATAAAAGTAGAGTTGACTAGTGGGAAACGACATGATGTAGTCATCTCCAGAGTGTTTTGGACGGGTAACTGTTGGAGTAGTAATGGCCAATGGTTGGGTGATTATTTGGTCAGAAGCTGTCCATGGGGTACCGTGTGGTCAGAATCTGTCCATGTGGTATTGACCCAAGGATAAATGCAGTTGTCTAAAACATTATGTTATCTGAAACGAGCAAGAGAAGGGGTTAATAGTCTTGGTCCCTCTCTTATAAACAGCTGCAAATGATTCACGTATCGTTCGCAACTTGATATCGTTGCAAGTCTTTAAAATAAAGTAGAGATATGCAAGTTTGGGATTTATTCAAGGACTTACAATCAAACCCATAAAAATCACACGTCTATAAGAAAGACTCAGAGTCTGCACTCCTCTGATTGCCCATCAACTTTAAAACCCTTCTGCACTAGTTTAGCCAGGGGATTAGACCTCCCTGCAAGATCACTGACAGGTGGTTATCTCATCAAATCCGCTCTCAATTAACATAAGAAAAAGAGGATCATGGGGGACCAACGGGCACTGATTAAGGCGCCACGGATTTATTCAACTGGCATTCGGAATGCATGTAGAATGCCCTATTCAGAATCTATTGTTCCGTTAATCCACATTCCAGAATGTACCTAGAATGTACCTAGAATGCGGTAATTAACGACTTAATTGGCGCATTCTGGGTGCATTCTGGATTGCTCCATGAATAGGCCATCCGAACAAAGGCGATATCGATCGGCAGCGACTACCTTCTTGATATTGCGTGCCGGAATAGTTTCGATATAGAATGAACCATAAGAATTGATAGAAATCAACAGATATTTAATTGGTTTCGCTTCTGTCTCTCCCGCGATCGGTCGCTCTTCGCATTTCTCGAGCGCAGGTGATAATGGACTTACTTTTATTTTCTTCAGCTTATTAAAGATGGTGAAAAGAGTAGAAGAAAGATTGAGAAAGAATGAAGACAGATTTATTATGACATTCCCGCCAGACCGCCACAAATATGTTCTGAGTCGGCGCTCTCAGAACAAAGGCGCGTTACAGTGTCAAATATACGCGGTGTTTTGAAACGTTGGTGTTGATTGACATGATGCCTCATTAAAGATGGTAAAAAGAGTAGAAGAAAGATTGAGAAAGAATGAAGAAAATATTTTGCATAAAAATGCGGATGAATCTGAATGATCAAAATGAGAGGAAGAAAGAGGATGCAAGAGATGGTGGGTGTTGAAAGATCTGAGGACTAATGAAATGATACATTTAGATAAAAAGCGAGAGTGGATATTTGTGGTTACCATCTTATTTTTAAACTTTTTTTATTGGCAGGGATGGGGGGTCCGTTTTTTTTTTTTTTTTTTTTTTTTTTTTGGCCAGGGAGGAAGCGGCCTGGCCCCGTTGCCCCCCCCCCCCTCCATGCGTCTGTGCCTGAAGGAAAGCACATGTCGTTTCGAATAATCTTATCTCCAAACCGAGACGGACATTATTTTGTTTGTGGTCTGTGCTTATATGTTGTGTATAATTTGTTTGTTAAGCGCACACTATCCTACCTTACCCCCCCCCCCCAACCCCCCTTTTTTTTACATCACCTACTTCATCAACCTTCTCTATTTTTTTTTATTCCATCTCTTACAAATAATGATTTTTTTTTGTTTTTTTTTTGTTGGACTTATATCATATTTCTTTACGGAATTTCATAAAGATTGTAGAGGGTGTGATTATTTATTCCAAAACAAATAAAGAGAAGGTCATATATAGATCAGTAGATAGTGGGGGGGGGGGGGGGAGATGAAAATTAAGTGAGCCGGAGGGGAATTGCCCCGGCCCCCCCCCCACTCAGTGTTATTTAGGGTACGCATATGCGTGTTCCAACCGACCCCCCCCCCCCCCTTTTCAGCAAAAGTCCGGTGTGTAAAGTCAATACGGCTCGACCTTTTTCTTTTGTATACGAGCCTTTTTCCGCACCCCCCCCCTTTTCAGCAAAAGTCCGGTGTGTAAAGTCAATACGGCTCGACCTTTTTCTTTTGTTACGAAAAGGACATTTTGGCAACACGCATGCGGTCATTTTGAAACCTGAGTGGGGGGGCCGGGGGAATTGCAGAGAACGAGGGAAAGAAAGAGAATGCAAGAGACTGATTGTAGTCTTTTTTAGAAAAACAAGATTTCTTATTTCTTATTTCCAATCTAAATGGTCCGCATGCTCTAATAATTGAACCAATGTTATCTCACGCCACATGGCATGCGGACAACAACATGACATGTGCCGCAACAACGACATACAAATAATGACAGATTTATTATGGCATTCCCGCCACAAATATGTCGGCGCTCTCAGAACAAAGGCGCGTAACAATGTCAAATATACGCGTGTTTTAAACTTTGGTGTTGATTGACATGACGCCTCATTTTAGATAAGAAGGAGACAGTGTTTATTCGAGATTGAGATGGATTTATTATTATCGAGAGAGAGAGAGAGAGAGATTACAGGTTTAAATTGGCCGTATGCCTATAACAATCCTAAAATGTTGGAATTTTTTGTAATACACAAATGTTTTTGTCATCAGAAATAATTGCTCCTCACCATGGCATTTGACCAGTCGCAACAAGGACATTCAAATAATGACAGATTTATTATGACATTCCCGCCACATGTCGGTGACCTCAAAACAATCGTAAATATCGCGGTCTGTTCGAACTTGGGTGTTGATTACAACATTTCCAAGATACAGTCATCAATCCAACTTTCATATCCCCACCAATCTTTCGTGGTCGGGGGAAGGAAGGGGGGGGAAGGAGGGGGGAGGAGGGGGGGGGGGGAGGAGGGGGAGGAGGGGGGGGGAGGAGGGGGAGGTGGGGGGGGAGCATCATCTATTGATATTTTGTTGGTTCCTATCTAGTGAACTTAAATTGACAGTCGTAATGGATAACACTAGGTCTGTACCGTGAAACTACGAGACGTCCGGTAATATGAATACAAGTGTATCTATATATATGGCACAGATAGCATAACATAATATCGGCCTTTAGAGTTATTGGACTAATCCAGCACCGTAATGTGCCCCTATAAAGAAATACGGGGTTCTCGAGCAGGGACATTTGATAAGTCTGCGGGCACATACACTATATCTTGAAAGATATGAAAGATATATCTTGAAAGTTTTTTTCTATGCAGGGAGATGTGAGATTCCCCTGGTCTAGATGGTTGTTTCGAGAGGTACAGTACATGACGTATTGCAGTCTCTTAAATCAGACTCTATGGCCCGAATTCACAAAGCAAGGTTTGAGCTCAGACCAAGGTTTGACCTCAAACCTCCTTTTGTTTCGCCAAACCTCCTTTTGTTATTTACAAACCTGGTTTGTAAATAACAAAGGGAGGTTTGGCGGAACAAAAGGAGGTTTGAGCTCAAACCTTGGTCTGAGCTCAAACCTTGCTTTGTGAATTCGGGCCAAGATGTTTGTGTATTACGACTGACAAGGGCTTTTGTCTGCGAGCTAATTTTGATCGAGGTAGAGTAGACAAGATAGAGAGAGATATACGTGTATTGTAGGCCTGAGTGAGACACAGTGGCCCGAATTCACAAAGCAAGGTTTGAGCTCAAACCTCCTTTTGTTTCGCTAAACCTCCTTGTTTGTAAATAACAAAAGGAGGTTTGGCGAATCAAAAGGAGGTTTGAGCTCAAACCTTGCTTTGTGAATTCGGGCCAATTTGTTTTGTTGTAAACTTTCAATAATATCGGTTGCGTGTCTTTCTTTCTACAACTGCAAAGTGATAACGTATTAAACCCAGTCTATTCAATTATAAGGCGCACTATTTATGCCCGAATCGGGAAACAACAGACCTGTTCAGCCTACGCGTTGGCTCCGGTGAATAGCAAAACAAAACCGGTTTTGCATCAGGTGTGGGTTATTGAATGGCTGTTTTCGCACCCCGCAATTAAGGCCTTTGTTTTGTTATCTGTTCTTGTTTATCGGATCGTTTTTCAAACTTTCATGAATACGTTCCCCTGATTTTGTTTGCTTTCCTTTAAAGCAAATGGATTGCACATTTATTTTAATTAAGTACAATTTATAAATGCCAAGTCTCAGATGTTTCATATATTCCCATCAATCTTTCGGGGGAAGGGGGGGGGGGGAGCATCGTCCATCGATATGTTTGGTTTCCTAGGGAACAGTCGTAATGGATAACACTAGGTTAAATATCCGTGAAACTACAATTTTCATATTCCCATCAATATTTCGGGGTCGGGGAAAGGGGGGGGGGGGGTAATTACGAGCATCGTCCATCGATATTTTTTGGTTTCCTAGTGAACTTTAATTGACAGTTGTAAGGCCCCCAAAAATCATTTAGTTGTCCTCGATTGCTTTTCTGTAGTAGGGGCGGGTGGGCAGAATTTTTTTCCTTCCCCATTAAAAAAAAAAAAATCCATAAAAAAGTAAAATAATTGGGAAGTCAGGCATTTAAACAAACAAAGTCTATAAAACATTTTAATATGGTAAAAGACTAGTTTCCCATGTGACGGAGCGATTTCGGTTACATCGCCAGTAATGGAAAATATGGCGGTGCTTTCTACTTTCATTGCTCATTGCGCATCATTCAGTCAATTTCGTGATATGTTTGTAAATATACAAATGAAAGTTCGGACTTTTTTTATTTCTAAAAATATAAGTTTTGTTCATCAATACGAAAAATAAGGTCCATTATTTTTTTAGGGAAATTGCCGTCTTATTTTGCTGAAGCTTTTCGTCTTTCCTTCTCAATACACTCACAATACAAATTGCGTAAGATCGGTTGATACCTCCATTGTTCAATTGATTCATTCCCCCATTGTCAATGATTGTCGTCTGCTGAAGCTCGGCCGATTATCAACCGAGCCATAAATAATAGGCCTAAGCCTTCGTTTTACATGGGTTTTATAAAAAAAAAATTGTAACGATATTCTGACCAACATTATGCCATGATCTACACGAAATGCCCTTTCTTTTAAATGTGCAAATCAAAATATAGGACTATTTGGGAAATGAATTTTGAGATAAAAAACAAAAATAATATTTACTTTGAATACTTTTGACTTCGTTTCTCATAATTTGAAATATTAATTTTGCCATCTAAAAAAGGCCGTCGTGTGCCTTACCATATTACCATCTTACCACTATTGCCTAAATATATTTTATAAAATAAAATGACACACAAATCCCATTTATCAGGATAACCATTGAACAGCTAGACTTGTTTGGGTTATCCCCTCGTGAAAATTCAATTTATTTGTCTTCGTCTTCATCTGTGTTCTCGTTCAACCTATCTTGTCAATAAAACTTTGTTAATCCTCGTTTCATGATCAGTTCTGTAGATGGCATGTACATGTATACATGAAGTGATGATGATGGCGATGATGATGCTTACAATATTGTAATAGAATAGTAATGATAATAGAAATTAATTTCTTCATCTTGCAATCGCTTGTCTTTATTGCCAGAAAACTTGTTTTTTTATGTTGCCTTGCTTTTGTTCCCTTTAACAATGGTAGCATCTTTGCCCAGGAAAAATCTCATATTCGTGGCTATACCTATTACTCAAACCTGCTCTTAAATGGCTACATGCCCTCGTAAAGGTAAATAAGTTAGAGTGGTTGTTTTGTATTGTCATGTAGTTTGACCTACGTTTAGGCCTACATCCTCTTCTTTCAAAACGTTAATCTTCCAGAGTAGTTACTTCTTTACATTCGTTTGTTCCTCTTATTGTGGGATCCGGTCCAGGCAGCTGAGATAAGCGTTTCATAATAGAGGAGGTCCATACATGAATGATTCGCTAAATTGATCAAGTTGATAACATGAAAAGCGTATTGTCAGAGTTCCGACACTGGTAATTACAGGGGAGAAGAATTACCAAGTCAGGGGTGGTTTATTTAATGGCTATTTTCACACCCCGCAAAGGCTTCTGTTTTTGTTTATCGGATCGTTTTTCAAACTTTTATGAATGTTTCCCATGATTTTTTTGCTTTCCTTTACAAAGCGAATTTCCACCACAGGGTTGGATTGCCCATTTTTTTAAATTAAGTATAATTTATGAATGCCAAGTCTCAGATGTTTCATATTCCCATCAATCTTTCGGGGGAAGGGGGGGGGGAGCATCGTTCATCGATATTTGTTGGTTTCCTAGGGAACAGTCGTAATGGATGTCGATGTTAATACTGAATAATTATGATGTTCCCACTGAGTAAAAGACGTCCTTTGCCTCCACCGTTAAATCTTTCCCTTGCATTTATTGAACGTGTAGTGTAATTTACTTGACACCCAGTTGATTTGAACGAAAGCAAAAAAGGCAACAACAACAACAACAAAAGAGAGAGAAAGAGATTGATGATAGTTTGACCGAGTTTGAAGAATTTGAAATAAAGCGGCCGCAACTTTTTTATGGGAAAATGGAAACGTACTACCAAGATATTTGTTTTCCTTCAATTAGACGACGTGTTTCCGCTGTTATCAACTTCAGAAAATCAGAAGTTGAGAGAACGAATGTTATATCTTGTTTAAAAAGATAAATAAAAATAGCTCTTTACTCCTTCTAAAAGTGCTCCACGCTGTCAATATAAAATGATACTTATTCATATTCCAACACTATGCCGGCAGAAATTTGAAAAGACAAACAATTTATTTTATATAAATGTTATCTTTTTCGAGCGGGAAAATACTTGTATTAGAACTCGTTCGTAGCGTCAAAATTCATTTTACCGGGGAAGAAATAAAGCGGCCGCAACTTTTTTATTGGAAAATAGAAACTTAATACCAAGATATTTTTTTCCTTCAATTAGGAGACAACGTGTTTTCGCTGTTATCAACTTCAGAAAATCAGAAGTTGAGAGAAAGAATGTTATATCTTGTTTAAAAAGATAAATAAAAATAGCTCTTACTCCTTCTAAAAGTGCTCCGCGCTGTCAATATCAGATGATACTTATTCATTTTCCAACACTATGTCGGCAGAAATTTGAAAAGACAAACAATTTATTTTATATAAATGTAATGTTTTTCGAGCGGGAAAATACTTGTATTAGAACTCGTTCGTAGCGTCAAAATTCATTTTACCGGGGAAGAAATAAAGCGGCCGCAACTTTTTTATTGGAAAATAGAAACGTAATACCAAGATATTTTGTTTCTTCAATTAGGAGACAACGTGTTTCCGCTGTTATCAACTTCAGAAAATCAGAAATTGAGAGAACGAATGTTATATCTTGTTTAAAAAGATAAATAAAAATAGCTCTTTTTCCTTCAAAAGGTGCTCCGCGCTTTACAAAATGATACTTATTCATTTTCCAACACTATGTCGACAGAAATTTGAAAAGACAAACAATTTATTTTATATAAATGCAATCTTTTTTCGAGCAGGAAAATACTTGTTTTAAAACCAGCTTGTAGCGTCAAAATTCATTTTACCGGGGAAGAAATAAAGCGATCGTAACTTTTTTTTCTTGGGAAATGGAAACGTAATTCCAAGATTTTGTTTCCCTTCAATTAGGAGACAACGTGTTTTCGCTGTTATCAACTTCAGAAAATCAGAAGTTGAGAGAACGAATGTTATATCTTGTTTAAAAAGATAAATAAAAATAGCTCTTACTCCTTCTAAAAGTGCTCCGCGCTGTCAATATAAAATGATACTTATTCATATTCCAACACTATGTCGGCAGAAAATTGAAAAGACAAACAATTTATTTTATATAAATGTAAACTTTTTCGAGCGGGAAAATACTTGTATTAAAACTCGTTCGTAGCGTCAAAATTCATTTTACCGGGGAAGAAATAAAGCGGCCGCAACTTTTTTTATTGGAAAATAGAAACGTAATACCAAGATATTTTGTTTCTTCAATTAGGAGACAACGTGTTTTCGCTGTTATCAACTTCAGAAAATCAGAAGTTGAGAGAACGAAAGTTATACCTTGTTTAAAAGATGAAAAAAAAAATAGCTCTTACTCCTACTTACTCCCGCGCTGTTTATATAAAATTATACTTATTCATATTCCAACACTATGTCGGCAGAAATTTGAAAAGGCAAACAATTTATTTTATATAAATGCAAAGTTTTTTCGAGCAGGAAAATACTTGTATTAAAACCAGCTCGTACGTAGCGTCAAAATTCATTTTAACGGTTAAGAAATAAAGCGATCGCAACTTTTTTTTTATTGGGAAATGGAAACGTAATTCCAAGATATTTTTCCCTTCAATTAGGAGACAACGTGTTTTCGCTGTTATCAACTTCAGAAAATCAGAAGTTGAGAGAACGAATGTTATACCCTGTTTAAAAAGATAATTAGAAATAGTTCTTACTCCTTCTAAAAGTGAGCCGCGCTGTCGAACCTTATGAGGTATAGTCGCATTTGAAATCACGCATCTCTGATTAATCGCCAGCGTCTCCGGCATGCTTTTTCATCGCCCAATTCTCAAAAGTCCATGCGTTTTGCGCCTTTTGTCTAGAGAACAAAGGGGCATTCCAGAATGCATTCCAGAATTCGTACAGAATGTGCGCATTCTGGAATGCCCCTTTGTTCTCTAGACAATAGGCGCAGGTCGCATCGATTTTTTGAGAATGTGGCTAGAATGTGCGCATTCTGGATACATTCCAGAAAGATTAACAAGTGCATTCCGAATGCATTCCGAATGCCAGTTGAATAAATCCGTGGCGCCTAAGCATTGTTAGTAATATAAAGGGAGCAAGTAGCTATAAGTAGGACAGTGGGGCTTTAAGACTTACCCGGAGATCTGTAAGATCAAAGTCTGAGACTGGAGCAGAGTCTGCATCCCAATAGATGGCAAAGTTCTCTAAGCGGACAAGCTTGAACTTCATACCTCCTGTAGCCTTCTCTCCACCAGTCTGTCTGGGTGACTGCAGGGATGAAAAGACACAAGAATAAATTACATTATAATATATTCATCATGGGTAGACTGAGATGGTATGGTTGTGTGGTTGGTAAAGAGGAGACCCAATGGGTACAAAAAGCCATTCATTCTGTACCGTAAGTCATTAAAACCAGTTCCACCACAAATCCAAAAGATCTTTACATATCACAGCTCGATGTCACGTCCGAGGATGGTGTCTGAACTAAAAACATTGAAACTGTCACAGGTCAAAATATTTTGATGAATCATAGAACTGATTCCTTGCTTGTTAACATGCTTGTTATCAATGATGGCAAAACTGGAATGCTTCATCTAACATCATCCAGGAAGCGTGGCTCAAATCAGGAACTGTCTCCACTCACGGTTGGTGACACCAGCATTTCTAGCAGCACAACTGTTCGAGACCTTGGAGTTGTGCTCGATAATCACTTAACTCTACGTCAAAATGTGAACTCCATCTGTCGGAATGCATCCCTATCTCTCTACAAAATCGGAAAGATAAGAAATCTCCTCGACAATCACACAACTGAGATCCTTGTCCACTCCTTCGTCACCTCTCTTCTCGATTCTTGTAATTGTCTCCTCATAAATCTCCCCAATAAAGACATCGCCAAGCTTCAGCGAATTCAAAATTCAGCTGCCAGACTAGTTTCCAAATTACCAAGGCAAGAGCACATCACTCCCACTCTTCAGGAACTCCATTGGCTGCCCGTATCCCAGAGAATCCAGTACAAAGTCATCACTCTAACTTTCAAAGCACTTCATCAACTCTGTCCCAGCTACATATCTGAACTTGTTACACCTTACATACCCACTCGATCCCTCCGCTCTGCATCTCAACACCTAATTGAACCCACGAAAGACAGGACCAAGTCATACGGATGCAGAAGATTCTTATCTGCAGCTTCGCATCTCTGGAACTCTCTCCCCACTACTTTCCGAACCATCACAGACTTAGCTTTCTTTCAATCTCAACTAAAAACCTACCTGTTTAAAAACGCTTTCTAATGTCATTTAAACTGTATTATTGTATTCATCAAAATTTAATTACATTACTGTACTCTTATATAATTTGCCTTCATTTCTGTGTTATGGGTGTATTTAATGTTTGATTATTATTAATCTTTTCCTTATTTTGATATATATCTTTAGTTCATGAATTAGTTGTTATGTGTAATTTTGTTGTATTAATATTGTAAAGCGCATTGCTATTTTCTTCGAAGATGAAATGCGCTATATAAGTCTAGGTTATTATTATTATTATTATTAATCATAAAAAAAAGAATAAACAAGGGAAACGCTCTTGGCGGTCTCGTCTGCATTATGCAATTTGATATGATGAAAAATTGAGGTGGGGACATTGTTTATAGGCAAAGTAGCCCATTAGCAGGCCCCCAAAATGAAATCCTCTGAATATAATCAGCATTTTGAGGTGAATATTGACTAAGAAACATCAGAAGAATTATTTGCTATAATTTGTACCAAGATTGATAACTTAAATGGAATATGAACAAATAACAAGGATTGATTTATTAATTCTCATATTAAGTTGTGGAAACATGATCCAAGTCTACTGACCTAAAATGACCTTTGACCTTGACTTTGTGACCTTAAATTCGTGTCATATGATTTGTGATACTTGATAACCCTTGTGTACAAGTTTCATGGAATTTGAACTAATAATTTTGAAATTATGCTACAAATTAAAAATCTTGATGTTGATGCCACAACAAAGTCTAAGTTTGCAGAGCTGAAATTACATTTTACCTTGACTTTGTCACCTAAAAGACTAATCACATGATTGATGATGCTTAATGTTCAACTTTCATGGAATAGGAATGTGTACTTTTAAAATTATGATAAAAATTTAAAATCTTAACCTTTGGTTAAGTTTTGATGTTGATGCCACAAAATAGTCTAAGTTTGTGGACCAGAAATGACCTTTGACCTTAACTTAGTTACCTAAATTCTACTCATATGATTGTGGATACTTGATAACCCTTTAGTCTAAGTTTCATTGATTAAGAACTTATACTTTCAAAATTAAACTAAAAATTCAAAAAATTAACCTTAGGTTACGTTTTTGATGTTGACGCCGTCGCCGCCATTACCGAAAAAGCGGCGCCTATGTCTCGCTTTTTGCTACGCAGGCGAGACAAAAACTTAACTATACGTCAATTGATCCCGATGACCTTTGACAAAGTACAGTAACCCAAAATTAAATGAGGTAATTTAGCTACTGTGATACATTCCTTGTAGCACATGAATTGCTTTTGATAATGTTAGGTGTTAAGGGCTTGAGTATCATTTTTATCACGGAAGTGAAAAATCGTGGGGCAGCCATTATTACATATTCCTCTATGGCTAACGAAAGTGAAAATAGATATTTATAAGTACACTTTTTTATTTTGTGAGGTAGGATGATTAATTTCAATGAAACAAAGTTGTTGCATGGCTCTAATGACTTTGGTTCCGTCATCATTATCCGGATACTGGACAATGCAAATTCGTCTGAAATATGGATATATCTCACACAGGAGTTTCATAACGGTTGACAAGGCTAAGTACCCATCATTTGCCAACGGTACAATCTACAGTGGACAATCATTTATAAGGAACCACCTACTCTAAACCTTGCACATGTTTAAGGATTTTGTGGAAACCATTATTAATTGATTGAAACAGATGTGCCTTTTATACAGGCAAGCAAAGGATTTATAAAACTATTAGACTGATGTAGTCACACAAGGCCCTAGAGATATTGCACTTTACAAAACTTTGAAGATGTTCAAGGGATTGTTTTTCTTCAGTAGCAGCTCTTAAGATATGGTAATCTGAAATGCTGGATATCTTGTGGAAATCTTAAAGTGACAAAAGCAAACGTGCCCTTCAACAAACATTGATGAGACTAAAAGATCGCTGCATGAACAAAGGAGGCCGAGACATGTAGTTATTGCAGTTAGTCTTCAAGAGAATTTCTTCTGCAGTAGATCAGAAATTCCTATAATGAAAATCTTGTAATTAATTGACAGAAATGAACTAGCGCTTAGATACAAGGATCGATGGGACCATCTGACTGCTGTGAATGAAGACCGAGGATTATCCAAGAAGGTGAGATCTTCAAAATCTTGAAGGGTACGTCATCTGTAGTAGAGGCCCCAAAGAGATTACAATCTTTCAACAGTGATCTTGTGCAAATCACTCATTCACATAAACAAATGGGCCATAACGTGAAACATTTACAGGAATTTTTGACTGCAGTAAGGTGGGCTAAAGAGATATTTTGGATAGTAAGACTTTAAAAATCTCCAAGGGAATTACTTCTGCAGTAGTGACATCCAAGAGATCACAATGTTCAAGTCTAAGATGACTTATGCAACCTCAAGGATTCCTCTCTGCTTGTGGATTGCATGTGTTTTATCCTTGCTATCTGGAGTATTGCCTGGGAATGACATAGCGGGCAAGGATGAAAATTGGAGCTCTGTCTCCCCCAGTGGCTGCCAGCTGACGAATACCAGCCTCGGTACCAGAGCTATGTGTACTCGTCTGGGTCTTCGGTCTGTTCCTCAAGATCTTCCAAGCAACACGACAGTACTTGATCTCTCCATCAACCTGATAATAACCCTGTACAATGAGTCTTTTTCCTATCTCCCAGACATTGTCACACTTGCACTCGGAAGTAATCAAATATCGGTGATAGAAGACGGTGTCTTTGAGCATTTGGGTAATCTCAAACAATTAATCCTAGAGAGAAACCGCCTAATGTCTCTTCCAGCAGGTTTACTTAGTTCAAATAGACTTCTCTCTGTGTTCCTCCTTGGTAGCAACAATTTGAGTTCTATTCCAACAGATGCTTTGCCCTGGTCTGATAATATCAGTTTGTTTGATCTGACCAACAATACCATCTCCTTCATAAGACCCTTAGACTTCACACCCCTTCAGAACTGTCCATCGATACGACTATATCTCGGCAACAATGCATTAAACAATCTCCCATCAAATGCTTTCTCAGCTTTGAATAAAGTCAACGAGTTGACTCTTTCAAAGAATACTTTTCAGGAATTTCATATCTCTTCTATTTTAGGAATAAATGAAATTGATAAACTGTCCTTGAAAGAATGCAATATACATCATGTAATTCCACTGAACCAAACTCATAACCATATTGATGGTTCCCCCAAGATTTATTTCATAGATCTCCGAGTTAACATGCTGAGCTCCTTCCCAGATTTTGTGTTTTGGGGTTTAAATCAGACAAGTATTATATTACTTCAGCACAATCAAATCAATATTTTATCAAACAAGACTTTTTGTGGACTAGACCAGCTGGTTGAATTAGATCTATCCTATAATGGCTTAACTTCCTTACCCCTAGGCATGTTCTCCTGCAATAAAATGCTACAGCGATTGATGCTTGCTGAAAATCATATTGCAAGCTGGTCCATTGGTATATTATCTAATCTATCCTCTATTAACCACCTAGACCTGGCTTATAACAATATCAAGTATATTGAGAGAAAAAACACCATAACATTTCCTTCCCTAGCATATCTGGATCTTTCTTTCAACAAATTCACAAAGATCACAAAGTATTTTCTATGGGGTTTCCCTAATCTCAAAATACTAAACATGTCTCACAATGAAATCAAAGATACCTATTCTCCAAATGCCTTCACGAAGCTGAAGAACCTCAAAGAGCTTTATCTCACCAATGAACCTCACCAAGACATCAATGGAGCTTTTCGCTACATGGATGCACTTTGCACATTAGATTTATCAGTTTCAGGGGCATTTATTCATTCGAAACTCCAATTTACAAATACTACATCTCTCATGAAACTGGCTATGCGTGAAAATGGTTTGATGAGCACAGATTTATTTGATACCATGACCTCTAAATCACTCTTTTGGGGACTCAGATCGTTGGTCAGGCTGGACTTAAGAGGGAATTACCTAAATATGTTAGCACCAGGAACTTTCAACCCC